ATGGGTATCTTTCCTCTGGTTTCATACTTCAGTATAGATTGGGAGCCATAGAAAGAATCCCCAAGGAACAGAAAGTGTTGCCTTCTTTCAGTTTACAGTTTTCTGTACCTCTTAAGTGACTTTCTCCATTTCAAAGTCAGTCAAAGCCTTCAAGAGTGCTGACTTTCCAGTTTTATGTGAACTAACTTTCCTAAGGCTGTTTCATGGTGGAGTGCTCCATACTGCAGGTGGATATGTGGAAATCATTAAGCCTTTTAGAAACATAGAAACAGAGCGAATTGGAAGGGGTCTCCCGGGCCATCTAGTCTGACCCCTGGCTCCAGCCAGCTTCACTCACAAAGTCTTTTGTTTGGGAAGACTTTTTATTCTGCCCACCATTCTGTGATATTTCTCCCTTGTACCATTCATTTTTATTTTATTTAATAATGGCGGAAACAACAACATAATAATACAAAAACGAATGAATGTTTTTCATTCTTGAGCATTGTTATGAGATCTATTTCTTTAAAATTTAAGCTGATGTTTTTTGCATCAATACTCAACTGGCCAGACCATCATGTCTTTGGTATGACTACACAGCCAGGAGTATATTTCTTTGAATGACAAATGCTTGTGCTTAAATGATGATATAATAGTAGTAGGATTGTTATCACTTCTGGATGAATTTCCAGTTCCTGGGGAAACATAGACCCTCCACTGCTTTGTGTTGTAGCAGTTGGAGTGACTGCCCATTTCCAGGTCAGGTTAGGACTTGGAGATCTCTGATTGCCTTTGTTCAATAAACAAGAGTTTTACACTTATTTGCGGTAGCTTTTGGAAGTCCTAAAAACTCTGGTGGTTTATTATCTCTGGCATATGAGGACAAGAGAATGCTTCCCATAATGACCCATGAGTATTAAGGGTGTGTGTGTGTGTTAAGAGTAGTCAAAGAAATTCTTTCAGATTGGGGAGAAATATGGGTTGTTACGGGATTATAAATTCTGGATCTCAGTTGTATAATTTATGCTTTGAGTGTAGGCATGAGATGACAGAAACCAGAACAGTATAACTGTCACTTCTTCTTATCAGCTTGCCACAGCTGGCTAATGGCTTCTTTTCTAAAAAAAAATGTTCAACCTCTTATACTATTATTTTAGCTCTGAAAATCCTCAAACATCTGGTTCATTTTATTTCATGTATGAAATGCATTAAATTTCTTTTTCTCCATCGTTCTGACTATTGTTTCTTCCCAGTCTTTAGAATTTCCAGAGATCTTAAGGTGCTCCCCTGCCTTAATTCAAGAATTTATATTTTTAAAACAAATCTATCATTTTTTCCTAACCTGCAACTCTCTTTTAAATGTTTGTGTTTGTTTTATAAAATACATACATCTTGGTCCCTTACCCAATCCCTGTTTACTCAAAAGGAAATCCCATGGGTTGGGAAGTTTCTTTCTGCCGAGAAGAATGTCCACAAGATGCGACCCCCTCATAGATGGAACCTTCCCAGAGACAGAAGTGGTGGGAAAGGCTCCCTGATTCCCATCCTTCCACCTCTCTAGTGCAGCCTCCTCCACTTTCAGGAGCAGATTTTCATGAAACATTGGAGACAACAGATATGGGGGGGGGGGAGCTGCTTCCTGCCCTGTTCATCCAGTAGGAAAGCCCTGTAAGGTCCTGCTGTGAGAAGCTTTTGCTGACTAAAAACTGTTACCTTTAATAGGACTGCCCAAACAGAAGTAGACATTATTGCAGCCTGTTTCCAAAACTTAATTCAGTTTTGGAGTCAGTTGAGGAGAGAAATGCATTAAAATGGCTGGAAGAACTTCAGGACAGAATTAGTGGATGTTAAGAGAGAGATATACCCTTCTCTCATCTGCCAGTTCTTTCCTTCAGTTTGGCAGACCCATGGTTTCATTGGAGTATTCAGTACACATTTGGATTTCAGCATTAATCTTCTTTTTGCAGGTTATTTTTGTATTCCATTTTTCTTCTCTTTAATGGCTTCTTTGTCATTTGTAATACATACAAATAAAAATACATGCATTTTGAATGCATTTCCAAAATTCTGTCTTATCAAAGGAAGAAGTGACCAAGCGAGCTACTCTTGAGAGGGGATGCAAAATACGCCACAATATTCAAAAGTGTGGGGGTGCGGCTCTCCTTTACGATCAAACTAGTTAGAAATACCAATACAATTGAAAACTGCAGAATCTCTGAAGACCAGGAGCAGAATAAAATAGAATAGAAAGAAAAGAACAGAGGGGACACATACCACACTGGAGTTGCCTAGATTTAAGATAGAACTACCCCAGCCATGAAAAGATATATTCAGTACCAGATTCCAGGTTAGAGGGGTGGACTGGCAGGGACCAAGGGAGGCACGTAACCCCGCACATGTTTATGATGTGCTGTAGTCATGATCCTTTCTGTTAGTGAAGCAGTTTTAATGTCCAAGACTTTTTAAAACTCACCCAATAAAAAAAGTTTAGGGTATTTTCTGTCAGAGGTGTATTAAAACATAGAATGCTCCACCTTAACACACACTCCCCAGAATTCACACCATATTTTTAAGTTCCATAAGAACATAAGAAAAGCCATCCTGGATCAGACCAAAGGTCCATCTGGTCCTGCACTTGGTATGCATGGTGTCAGACCAGCTGCCAACAGGATCCCTCAAGCAGGATGGGTGCAAGACCTCCACCTGCCCAAGCTCCTCCTCAGCTGGTATATGCAGGCAGGCCACCTCTGATAACAGAGGTAGCACACAGCCAACAAAGCTAATAGCCACTGATAGCTTTCTTCCTCATGAATCTGTGCAATCCCTTTTTAAACCCATCCAGATTGGCGGCCATCACCACTTCATGTGGCGAGAGAATTCCATAGCTCAGCCATACACTGTGAAGAAGTGCTTCCTTTTATCTGTGCTAAATCTCCCACCAGCTTCATGGGATGGCCCCAGGTTTGTGTGTTAGCGAGAGGGAGAAAAATGTCTCCCTCTCCACTTTCCTCACACCATGCAGTATTTTAAAAACCTCTATCATGCCTCTCCTTAGTCTCCTTTTTTTCTAAGTTGAACAGTCCCAGTTGTTATAGCTGCTTCTTATAAGAGAGCTGCTGTACCCCATGGATCATTTTGTTGCCCTTCTCTCCATTCTTTCCAACTCAGCAATGTCTTTTCTCAGGTAAGGTGACCAGAAGAGAACCCAATATTCCATGTGCCCATTTTCCCAGTTTGAAGAGGTCCTTTGGAGCTCCTCACATTCCCTTTTGGGTTTAAACACTCTAAAAAGTTTAGTGTCATTAGCAAACTTAGCCAGTTTACTACCTGCTCCACTACTTACTTCACTACTATCCAACCCCAGCCCTTGATAGGAGTAAAACACATTCATAGATGCACGCTTCACTTTTTTGAGGCAACAAGGCACCTCAAATTCCAGGCAACAAGGCACCTCAAATTCTTTTTCAGCTCTTCTTTTCTACAAAAATTGAGAAGGAGAAAGCTCCCCTGTTAAAAATGAAACATCCAACATTTATGAATGGATTGGGGGAAGAGAGCCAAGGATTTGCTATTTGTTATACCCCTTCCCAAAGTTCTGGATTGCAGCTGCATCCATTTTTTTCCAACCTAGAGTGTCCTTGTTAAGAGCCAGATCTAGTTTTCAGGTTAGTGGTTCAGTGCCTCACTGTGCTGTAGACATGAAAATGGATTTCCTTATGTGGACTCCACCAAAGGGCAATTTCCATGGTAGTGAATGTATAGATGCCCTTTCCCCCTCATTGGCCTACCACGTTGAGGCAGTCGTCACTGGAATTATCAACTTTTTCACTGAATTTTGGAAGAAGAATGATGTATGCCTTTTTTGCAAGTTATCAGTGTTGATATTTGTGAAAAAAATTGCTTGTTTTATTCTATGAATTGAAGGGTTATAAGTGTGGCATAAAACTTAGAAGGCATGTCTGTGACTTGACACTATGCACGCCTGTACAGTTCCCAAAGCACAATAGTGATATCGTGTTGGCAGGTGGATTAATGGATTTTTGCTGTTAGCCAGTGTGTACAGAATACAGTGTACAGTTTTGTGTACAGTTTCAAGAGTAAGCATGCTTGGGCACCTGCCTGGGGACCATAACCAGCAGAGGCCAGCTGGCAAGAGTTGGCTAAACAGCGGTGGAGCAGCAGACGCCGCTGCATTTAGCTCATCCGATCTCCGCCAATTGCACAAGCAGGTGGTAGAAATGATAGGAATGATGTAGCACAATAACAGCAGATGACAGTGGTGGTGAGAAGGTAGATTCACAGAAGTAAGTGGCATATTGAGGCTGCCTGGCCTAAGGGCACTCAGAAAGATAGGAACCCTCATTGGTGCAGAATATATCATGTCTTTCCAGCTGTTTGAGGTTAGGTAAGAGAATTCCTAGTGTTATAGTCCTGGACCAGGAGCCTCAGGTATGGAAGCCACCAGCGACATGACTCCTGGGTAGGTGCCAGAACTAATCGCTGGTCCCTCTGAACTTTGGCCAGTGCCTTTAACTCGGTGTTAATGTCAAAGCTGCAACACAGGGGAATAAAGTATCAGATAGTTTTAAAGCAACAGCATCAACTACATGGCAGCAAGTCCTGAGGGGCAGAAGAGTATTTTCACTTGGGAGAAAGCCAGTAGTGAGGGAGCTAGATTGACCTCACTAGGCAGAGTGTGGGCAAAGCCACTGAGAGAGCCCATATCTTGAACCATGTCCTTATTAAATGCTCTATTCTGATTAGTCAGACAAATGATACAAATTTTTACCAGCTGTCCTAAGCTACATCACATGCAGTGTTACCCTGTGGGCGTATCTTACTCAGAAGTACGTTCACTGGAGCTTCTTTCAAGGTAAATGTGTCCAGGATAGCAGCCTTATTTATTTTGCTATGTCTTGTTTTGTTCTGAACTTTTAAAAGTGTAGTTTTTAATGAAAAGAACAGCAGCAGCAGTCTTAACCACAGAATGTTGCCGTTTTGTGAATTTTCCTCCCTGCCAGGATTCATTGGAAGCAGGGGGCAATGTGGGGCCACCCTCACAGGCACCAAGTAAACAGAAGTATGTGTTGGGCTCCGTGTCAGCTGCAGAGAGACAGAACACACCCCTTCCAAATAATGAAAAACCTGCCAGGAAACCTGCTCAGAAGGCCTCCAACATCTCTGCCTCAAGCTCAAGCATCAGCACCTCAAGTATGCACAGACTGCATTCAAAAATGTCCTGCAGCTCTTCTGACAGCATTGCAAACAAATGTTCCCACAAGGCTGAGAACACAGAAGCTAAAGTATACAGTGGGGATCTCCTTGACAAACATTCTGAACATTTTACCAATGGCCAGCAACCGTTCACTCCACGCACTTTAAAATCAGATGCAAAATCCTTCCTCTCACAGTACAGATATTATATGCCAGCCAAACGGAAAATAAGGGATACTCCTAAGCAACAGCTGGAAGCAGAAACCCAGACCGATATAAGCAGGTAAAGAACTTCTGAAACTGGCCGTGTCATGGTGCGGGGCACACTGCTTTGGAACATGGCCTCATGCCTGATCCCAGTGGTGGTCCTGGTCAGAGCAGGGTGGAGTTGACTGGCTTGTGCCTCTACCCTCACAGTTTAATGTTTGTGCCCATGGTACTATGTGCAGATCTACTTGAAGGTCCATCATCTGTGCACTTAATTTTTTCAGGGGGAAAGGAGAAGTTAATGTTCTCTGCAAGAGAACTTGCCCTATGTAATCCATGTCATGTCAATAAAAAGGTTGCATAAATTGGAACTGGGATATTACACTTGTGCATCATCACCTTGAGAGCTCCTAGCTAAAGAAGGATTTAAGCCAAGTCTCTAAAGATTCAAGCCCAACAGCCTAGTTTCAGAGGTGCTGCAGCTCTTACACTGGGATACAAATCTGGTTGTTATTTAATTGAAATCATTACAGTTCCACTGAATTTAGACAGCTATAAGCAAAGACAGAAGTTGGACATAAGTCCGTTTGACTCCTCAGAGCAGGAATCTATTGTGCAGGTGTTCTTTGTACCATTCAGTGTCATGTATATTGCTAGCATTGTATGAATTCATTCAGCCAGTCAATCACCAAATGCACATCTCCCATGTATTTTAATCTTTCATTCATTTCTATTTAAATCGATGGAAAGAACAGCAGCAGTGTTGCCCTGTGTAATCCTTAGATTTTTTGTTTAGAAACACTTGTTGATATAAGAGGAACACCTTTTGATCCAACATACTTATCTTTTCCAGTTTAACACTAATTCCTGCTTTTCTGAAGAGTTGTTGAACGATATCAGCAGCATTAATAGCATTTGGGTAGACTGTCCTCCATAGGGTTGGAATTACATGGTAAATAAAGAACTATTAAACTTGTGTTGAATGTCATGCAGGAATATTTTTGTAGGGCAAGTAATGCCAGTGCCCTGTAAAAAGTTTAGGCCCTGCACAAGTACTTCTAACTCTGGCGGTGTCACAGTAATGCACTAGCAGCTGTTACATCCTCGGGCTTCCAGACCTATATTGCAATTGTCCCCCACACTCAGAATAGAACCCAAGCAATTGGATTAACAGTCATTTGAAGTTCTTATCCACTAGGGAGCAGAAGTCCATTTTCCCTTCATTACACAAGGAAGGGGCTTAGCTAGGATTGTAACCAACACCTAAAAACATTAACATTTCCATTAAATGTTCTGTTTGTTGGATGTTAACATTCCTAAGCATATTGGTGCTGGAAACGGGGTATTAAACGGTTAACTTGGCAAGATCTGCATAATGTATCTTATTAAATTTTGCAGTTTTCAAGTTGAGTTTGAAGGATCAGGAAAAAAGGATTTGGCTGACTTTCAGAAGATCATACAGGAGGTAATTCAAGTTTTTAGTTGTATTTCGGTCAACAAGCCATTTATAGCAATACTAGGATACTTCTTTACCTCCTGCCACTTCAGCTGAGGGAGTTAGGCAGAATAAGTGCCTACTGTTTACTGCAAAGTTTTATGTTTGAATAACTCCTGATTTCTTCAGAGTATACCCAGAAGTGCAATCCTTATTGGCTTTACTAAATTTTATTGTCAGATTTATTTCTAACACTCCTGCTAAAGGGAACCTGCAAGGTAAGTGCTCCAGTCAAACTTTAAAACATTATGTAAACAGCTTAAAAGGGAACCTTGGGATGCAGCCCTCCCAACATGGTCTGAGGGACCTCAGTGCTTGGACTCTGAGAACTGTCAGCATCCGGGGCGTGGGTGGTTTTAGTGATCCCCACAACCTGCTGCATTTGTATTCTTAGTCCGGGAACAGCCAGGGTTGTGGGGAACTAAGTCACTGGGGGTTTCATGAAAATAAGGTGTCTCCAATGAGTGCAAGCCAAAGCACTTTCCATTGTTCATTAACCACATTCATGCAATAGTTAGCCAAATACATTTTTAGCATGTGGATATGGTGTACAGACCTAAACCAAAAAGTGTGCAGACTGGTAGCCACATGTTTGAGGCCTGCATTCAGTTGCATGCACTTGTACCGGGCAGCCAGTTCTTGGCCAAGATGTGGTTTCTTGCTCTGTGTCCACACAAAGACACTTTTCTTACCAGAGCACAGTTCTATCCAGTCAGCCTCCCTTTCTCCTTCTTTCCCAATGTTTTCCCTGTGTTGTAGGTGGAAGACACAGTGTCTCGCAATGCAGATAAACCTGATGAAATGAAGGCTGTTTCTCAGTTCTCCTCTCCAAGGTACATGCAATTCAGGAGGAATATATATATCTTTCTCCTCTCTCCTTTTTGCTTTGTTTGCTGATGGTGGACTCATTACCATCCTGTCTGCAAAATCCAGAGTGGTGTTTTTTAGGAGATTTAAAGGTGTACTTGCTGTCTAAGCAGAAATGTATGCTTTCCTTGGAGCTAAGTTCCAGTAACAAAATTGGTAGAGTGAAGAGCATATTGAATAGATAAAAGGATGGCTTGCCCACCCTCCAATGTAGCAAGACAATCTCTCTCTAATAGTAAATGATGAGAATGTGGTAAGTGAAGTGTTTGTTAGGGATAACTTTGGATTGTGAGGTGCAGCAGTGTATATGCTTGGTGAGTTATTTATTAAAGATGGAAAGCTGGTTCAGAATAATCTGGGTATGGTCCAAATGCTCAGTGTCTCCATTTTTAATGTCAAAAAGATAATGAGCAGGATTTGGCTTTGGGAGAGAGGGAGGAACAAACTAGTGTGAGGTTATGGAAATAAATTGGAGGTTGGAGGTTCAGGGGAGGGGGATGCTCTGCTCAATAATGTCCATTCAATAATATTAAAAGAGGGATCGCATGCCGTGACTGCAGAAGCAAAGGCGATGGCACCACTTCTATATTCTCCCCAGAAAGGCTCACCTAGGGTATTTCATCACTAAATAAGAGCCTACTTTACTCCCCACACCAACCAACATTTTAGTAATTATTCAAATGCTTTTAAATCTGCACTGATTTATTTCTACTGCTGTTTTTACTTCTGTGATTATTTATATGTTTAATTTTTAATCCCTGAGGGTGATCTTGCCTTGCTTTTATTTTATTGCCATGGCATATGCATGACGATTCTGTTTAGAAAGGCAGTATTTTGACCAGCTGCAAGATCATCTGTTAAGATATCCAGGGTTGTCTGCCTTTTAACCCCAGAAACACAGCTTCTTGTGGGCCACAAGTATAAATAACCAAGCTAACAGTGGTGCTTCAAGGGGAACATGCATACTGGTGCCTCCTCTGATGCCTATACATTCAGTCCAACCTACTGTTTGCAAGGGTCCTTTTTGCATGGGATGTATCCTTGACTGTGCACTTTCAAAACATGCATCCTAGACACTTTCTGCACTTAACATTGAGCTTAGCTTTGTAAAGGTTAAAGGGGTTTGGAGACTGGAGGCACAATTTCATAACTCAGAAGTATTTTATTGAGAGGATTAAAATGTATATTCAGACAACCAAACTGAAGCAACAGGCATTTTATAGGATTCCATTTCATCCATAACACCTGCCAGTTGAAACCAGTGATTTAGTGTAACTGACTGGTATGTTGGAGTGTGGGAAGAAGTTTGGGCCATGGGAGGAAAGGAGGAGGGAGAAGGATGTGGAGACTGATGAGGGAAAGGAAGGACAGCTGGCTGGGTTCTTCGGGAACATGGGGTAATGAAGGAAGGGAAGGGAGCAGCTCTGATAAGCAGCTAATGGCCATGCTGGGAAGATGTCAGTGGAGGGGTTGCTGCTTCCTTATATCTAGACAGGTTTTGGGGATGATGATGATGATGATGATGATGATGATTATTATTATTATAGCATTTCTATGCCGCCCCTTGCCGAAACCTCGGGGCGGCTTACAACATGATAAAATACATTGAAATACAATAGTACATAATAAATTACCATTAAATATAACAATACAAAAAATACATTGATTTACAAATACAAAATTAAAATTATCAGTATAAAATAAAAATATAGGAGGAGAAAGAGAAGGAAGAAGAAGTTGCCCAGGCCAGATCATATGTTTTAACAATTGAAATGATGTTTAAATAAAAAGGTCTTTACCTGGCGCCGAAAAACCAGTAACGACGGTGCCAGGCGGACCTCTTTGGGGAGTGAATTCCATAGGTTGGGCGCCACCGCAGAGAAAGCCCTCCTCCGGGTACTTACTCTCCTAATTTCTTTCATGGAGGGTTCCCGGAGAAGGGACTCTCCCGCAGATCTCAAAGGGCGGTCGGGCATATACGGACGTAAGCGCTCGTTCAGGTAGCCAGGACCCAAGCCGTTTAGGGCTTTGTAGGTCATAATCAACACCTTGAATTGGGCCCGGGCTTCAATGGGAAGCCAGTGAAGCTGACGGAGGACTGGAGTCATGTGAGCATAACGCCCCGTCCCCGTCAGCAACCTGGCAGCTCTATTTTGCACCAATTGAAGTGTTCGGACTGTCTTCAGGGGAAGCCCCACGTAAAGCGCGTTACAGAAGTCTAGGCGGGAAGTCACCAGCGCGTGTGTCACCGTCGCCAGGCAGTCGTATTCCAGGTAGGGGCGCAGCTGATTAATCAGCCGAAGCTGAAGGAAGGCGTTCCTTGCTACCACTGTCACCTGAGCTTCCAAAGAAAGCTCCGGGTCGAGGAGTACTCCTAAGCTGCGGACCTTATCCCTAAGAGGGAGTGTTGCACCATTCAGGACCAGGTCAAATCCACCCTCTCCGAAACCCGATCCGCCAACCAACAGGACCTCCGTCTTGTCTGGGTTGAGTTTCAGTTTATTGGCCCTCATCCATTCCCTTACCTCGGCCAAGCACCGGTTCAGCACAGCCACTGCCTCACCTGGATTAGTGGAGAACGAGAGGTAAAGCTGGGTATCATGTGGTGAAGGTTGTAGCAGTGGAGCAGAAGGGAGAGGAAAGCCCACAAGATTCTTTCTGGGTTAAAGAGTCCTACCTATTGAGCTGTGCTGCTTAGATGAACCCAGGAATTGAGCTTAGTTATTTAAACTCAACCAATGGCAACCATCTCTGCTGGCTCCTCAAACCTAAGATGTACATTACAGGGCCGCTGTTTGTTCTACCCAGCTGAAACGAGGAGGTAAAAAAATAGCAGATGAAAAATCAATTTACCTGGTGGTCTCTCTGAGCTGACATGATGGAGCCTCATTGTAAATTGAAATCAGAATCAAAGGAGGTCAAGGATTGAGTGGGGAAAACAATGGCCCTGCCACAGGGTGAGACAAGGGAATGAGGGCTTTTTAGTATATCCCCCATTCTGCTTTGAGAGCCAGGAGTGGCTTTCAGAATGTCAGATTTCTGGAAAGCCTTCCTTTTCATGCTGAAAGCAGCAGGATATTGGCGTTTCTGGCAGTACTTTGCTTCCACACATGGAAGCAAACATGATGAGACCCCCGTATGACGCCAGTATAAGATAGTAGTCTAGAACTGCCTTCTGTGTCTGATCTCTGCGGTTTCTCTCCTTTCCTCCCTTGTGACTCAGGGTGACTTCTCCATGTTCTGTGCAATCCCCAACAATGAGAAGGATCCAGGCTGAGTAAGTCACATGTATATTTCAGTGTTACAGAAATTCAAGAAATTCCAAACAATTAATGAAACTGGAAGGATGAGCAGTGGTGCTGCCAAACCCAGACGGCTCCATCTGCTGGGTGGTATAGAAATCAAACAAACAAAGAGCATGTTGATCTGATCGCTTACACCAAGGATGGGTGGCACACGCCCTGTGGGCTGCAAGTGCGCCCCTCACCCATGGCTGTTTTTGTAGCCTCTTTGCTCCCATTGCTGCTGCAAAATTTGCCATCAAGGTGGCCAAAAATTTAATAAGGAAGTTTGCAGGGAGCATGTGTCTCATTTGCAAACAGAATCGCATGTCAAGAATCTTCCTATAAGTGCAGTTCCGGTTACAAACCAAGCACACATACACCCCCTTTGTTTCTTTGCAAAACCTCTGAATTTTGTGTTGCCACTGCAGCAGCAAATTCCGCAGCAATTTTGGTGGGATCGCGAGTGCCCTTTGGTTCATTCTGGGCACAGTAATGCAGCATCCAGAACCCCAGAAGTTTCTCACCCCTGCTTTTAACCCATTACCGAAATATTCGCATGCTGTGAGCCTCCTCTTACCAGACAGGTCTCCTATCCGTGGCACTGCTACCTTTTTTCTCTGCTCCCCTTCTTTGAGCTCAGCTTGATGTGCGTAGCCACTTGAGCTGCATCACTACATCAGACACAGCTTTAGGGACACACAAACTACAAATCTTCACTTCCTTACCTGGATGATTGGTCTGAGCAGGGTTTGTTACTGCCCCATCTTGTTCTAGACCTCCTTTTTGTCTTGTTCCCCCCTGGCCTTGGAGCACTCGTGTGTGGGACATGTACTTGCAAGGCAACAGCTGCACAGGCAGAGGATAGGTTAGGCAGAGGATAGGTTGTGCCAGGTCGAACCAAAGGTCTGCCTGGCCTGGTTGTCTGCTCCCGCAATGGCCAACCAGATGTGCATGTGACACAGACAGACAGGACATGGAGGAGACCACACAGACATATGCTGGTAAAAGGAGTGGGAGCGCTCACTCAGCACAGAATGTGGTTTTACACATATCTCTTCCCTTCTTTGAAGGAGAGAACAGGCAGGTTTGCATGCCATGCTAAGCTCTTCCGAAAATAGCCCTAGTGGGGTGGTTGTTCTCTGCATAACCCACAGTCTCACTGAGAGATCAACCTCTCCAACTCTTGTCATAGATTCTTTCTAACTCACTCCTTCCACCTTATCCCATTTACAGAAAAAATCCCATCCCACAATCCTTTCCTCCCTTGCTGCATCAGCAGCCTTGTTGGTATTGGTCTACATACTGCTTTCAGCTTGTTTGGTCTTTGCCAGCTCCCAACAGCAAGTTTCCCATTCCCTTCTCCACCGCTGAATGCAACCTCTTCCTGTTAAAAGTACTTGTTAAAAGCACCAACAGCATATCTGAGCAGAATACCAAGTATCTGGAAGGGGGGCTGGGGTCAGATCTGCCCAGGGTATTTGCAGTGCACAGCACCCTTTGCTCAGGCAACTCCTTTGGAAATATCTTTCTTTTTCTAGAAGAGAATTTAGCAGCACATTAACAGATTTGCATGCTGATGGCTGATTACTTCTGTTAAGTGTTTGTGTATGTTCTGTGTTAGTTTGCATCTGCTCGCTGCTGTTTAGACATCAGAGCAATTAAATTATTTCTCAGTTATGTGCAGTGTTTTGTCTTATTTCACTGAGCACTCCTTTTTTAAAAACGGGCTTGAACTAATATTTAGCCTGCTAACAATAAGATAACAAGAAAGTGCAATTTAAGAGAAAAGCTCATGATATAAAGCCTCACTTCAGATTCGTGCAGAATGTGCCCACAGTCAGGGGCGAGGTGGGGTTAAACACTGCTGTCGGTATTGCAGTGGAAACGGAAGCAGGTGCTCCTGTGCACACTGCATTGTCCGGCGGTGCTTTCTGCAGTTATCAGACTTAGTCTTCTAGTTGCTACCCAGTTAATCAGAACATCGTTTTAGTCAATCAAAAATGTTAATACATTGATTACTGAAACGAATTAATGTGTTAAAGGTTGCACCTCTATTGCTTGTTTCGTCTTGTCAAAGAAACCTTAAATCAGGGGTCCTCAAACTTTTTCAACAGGGGGCCACCTGAAAGGTGTTGGTGGTGGGGGGGGGGGCACGGGCCGGGGGGGGGGGGGGGGGGGAGGGTGCAGGCAAGGCAGCAGCTTGCTCACGCAGAGATCGTTTTCTCCAAGCGAGTCCAAAACCTCTCAGGTGGGCCAGATAAATGGGCATGGTGAGCCAGATCCTGCCTGTCGGCCGTAGTTTGAGGACCCATGCCTTAAATCTTCACAGGGAGAGCCCTGCAGTCTCTCAGGATAACATGTAGGGTAGCACTAACATCATGCTGGGCGAGTCAAGGTCAAAGAAATACATTCTCCCAGAGTCTTTTTCCCCAGAGTGAGCTCAGTGCTATGCAGAGGGGCCCAAATGGAGTGGGCTGTGCTGTCAGGGACTCGGGGGAACACTGGGACCTCAAAGGTCAGGCAGAGGCACCTACCCCCTGGGAAGCCTCCACCTGAATTTCAGTGGTCCTCCCTTTGGCACCCACCCCATTCAGGGCATCCCATAACCATCTGTGCAGCATCTGGTGGGGCCTTTGCCAGCTGCCAGAGAACGAGTGGGCAGGAGGTCAAGTTTCATGAAACTCTCTTTCACCATCACAATGCTGAATAATTATTCTTAGTACTTTTGATATATTTTAAGGCAGCTGCTTGTAGAAATGAATAGGCATACTTTGCTTCTCATGATTTAACAACTTTCATCTGAATTCCAGCTTAAATATATTGATGGTCACTTTTATATCCATCCAATCTATTACTCAAGAAATATATTTATTCAGAGACTGACAGTAGGTTTGTTGTTCTCTGCAGAGAAGAAGAGCTTTTGTATTTAAGTTTCATCCAAGACATAACAGATGAGATTCTCAAACTTGGATTGTTCTCCAACAGGTTGGTTATATTTGAGTGTCAAGTTTTTGCAATGATAGGATGTGTAGCGGTTGAAACCCAAAGCAAAAGAGCCGAAGGCTGGTTTCTAAGGGACAGCAAGAAGGAAAGCAGCAGAGCAAACGGTGGCTGGTTTGCAGCCGCTGCTGGGATGATGAGAAAACAGCCCCCCAGCCCTGGAATTTTCCCAGCCTTGATGTAGGGACAACAGCACTGTTTATTTATTTGTTTATTAAAAGCATTTCTACCCCATCCTTCACTGAGGTCTCAGCATGGCTCTACAATGGGGAGAGGGAAGAGCTACAATAACATTCTGAATGATACAATCCCAGCAAATATTCTGGGATGTAGGATGGAAACCTGATTCCAATCTGATGTCAAGAATACACAAGAAGTCAGGGTTAAATCTAATCCCTATTCAGAGTACATGATACATAAGTTAGCTTGCCCAGCCCTTTAACACAGAAAAGGTGACAGAACATAGATTACTGGCAAGCAGAAATGGTCCGGGACTAAGTTCCCAGAGATCATCAGGGAGGGAAAGGAGCTGATCTAGGTCCCCGTCTCCCTCAAAGTAAGATGTGCTAACAGAGACAAGACCTTCATGGTGGTTGTACCATACTGTGGAACTTGTTCTACAGAATAATTTGCCAGGTGCCAAACTACAAGTATTTAGGCATTTGTTTAAAACTTTGCTTTTTTCATGAGGCTTCAATGGTATTTTGCATTAGTAACTTTATAATGTTATTTTATGGTTCTTTAACTGTAGATTATTTGCAATAAATTACTTCATTTTGCTTTTTAACCAAATTAAAGTTTTTCTAAGGAAGAACAAATAGAAGATTATCTTTCATATTTTTCTGAAAATGCATGCATGTTTTAGAGCTTAGACATTGTTAACAGTGTAATAGTTTCCTAATGAAAAATGACTTTTCTGAGTAACAATATTCCAAAACATTTTCATCTTTTAAGGGCTTTGGAAATGTTGTTTGAACGTCACATAGAACAAAATAAAAATCATCTTGATGAGGTATGTGTTACGTTTAAAGACCATCATAGGAAAAATGTAAGAATAAGAAAATAAATTCAAAGAGAATTGAAAAGTGTTGAAGACACTCATGAACATAAGAACTGGTCATTGTGACGCCCCGTCTGTGAGAGTGTTTAAGGATAGGCTGGGCATGCACATGGAAGGCATATCATGAGCAGAGCCAGCTGGAGCCAGGGGTCAGACTAGATGGCCCAGGAGACCCCTTCTAACCTGCTCTGGTTCTGTGTTCTTATACTCCCAAGTTCTTTTCTGCATGCATCATTCTAAGACAAGATTCATGGTTTCTTGTTTTAGGTGAACATGGCCATTCCCCTCTTCCTCCATATCTACTCCCACCCTCGCCCTCAGTCTCTCAGGCTTTCTCAAACATGCATTCACATTCTCTCTCTCACAATGTGTACACAAATTGAAATTGGGTGGATTTGCACGACACCGAAGCCATGGTGAAATGTTGTCATTTGGGCCCTGTTCTAGAGTTCCTGCACATGTAAGGGAATGAGTGTTCTGAAGCCACAGAGAGAATCAACTATCTTTTCTATGGTTTTTACATTTCACCATGACTTTGCTGGTTGTCCAGGCTGGGGATCAGCATTTTACAAATTTGGGTATGGAAGCACCATAGAATCTGCTGGCAAGAGCAGCTGCAGAAGTGGCTGCTTCTAGCCTTTGATCACTACTGCCTTCAGCTTCCTAGCAACAGATGCTTCATTGCCCGTTTTCCCCACTGACCAAGTGATATGTCCAGCTCCCTGTATACTTAAGGAACCAGGGAGACTGCACAAAAATTCCGTCCGTCCGTCCGTCCTTCCTTCCTTTATGCATTTCTGTACTGTTCAATTAGCTGAATGTTCTCAGAAAAGTGTACACTGAGAGAAAAGGGGGGATTCACAGCAAAACCATCTATTTTCATCTAATAAAAATCTCCGTGGGGGGCTGGAGGAGCTGGGAAGTACCGCAGACATACAGGTATACTCAGGAGGCAGAAGGGAACCCACCTCAGGACTATAGTGGGCCATTCAGGGGGAAGCTGTGACCATCCATCGGCACAAGCAGGGAAGAGATAGGAATTTCACTTGTGGAGGCTGCTGAGATATGTGGCAATGCCAGGCGGACAAAGCGGGAGGTGTGGAAACCATGTGATTTTCTGATCGGTAAGTACGGGAAAATTCTGTGCACTGTGGAAACAGCGCAGTCCCTTTGCTGTGTTGAGAGAACCAGCCAATCTCTTCAAACACACTTGTCCCTTGCTCAGTATATACATGCGGTCTATTCTCATGTACCGCTTAAGAATCCTCAGTGAGTCAGTCATTCTTAGATACGTTACAGAAAGGAAGAGATAGTTTTAAATATTACTGTTTTCTAGCATTATTTCTACCAGCTTGTATTGCTTCCTCTCTTAAATCTTAGGCCAAAATGCGCCACCTGCTGGAAATTCTGAAAGTAGACCTGGGTTGCATCAAGGAGGAACCATCTGCTGGAGGGTCTGATGTGTGCGGTCCACTGCAGAACAATCAAGCCAAGCACCTCCAACTTCCCAGTGCAACTCAAAGTCAAAACAAGCTGGGAAAAAGTGAGGAGTTTTTAAAAGCAATGGAGCTAATAGCTAATGACTCGGCTGCACGCTGTGATAATTTCCAGGAAGAAGAGGCCCAGGATGAAATTTCCAAAGGTATCAATAAGCCAGCAAGCGTTGGGCTGGACCCTACCTCCTTCATGATCACCGATGAAACACTGGATACTTCTTGCACATTGCCATCAACATGCAATTCAACCACATGCGATGCTGACTTTGAAACAAGCGAGTCCTTGAGGGAGGCTGATGAGCTTAGAGAGAACTCCCTTCCTATCTCCGCCAGCAACACACCGTAGGAACAACTAGCAATGAAGCATCACAAGAGACAGCACACCTAGCCAGCGGTGCAGAGATCTGAACTTTGTGGATTAAATAAAATGCTAACAAATCATCCTTTTTTTTTAAACATGTTCTGTTTGGAATGCCCTTTGCAGCCTCTTGTGAAAGGGGTCCAAGTATTACGAATCAGGCTTTGATGAACTGAGCACTAACACACACTGTAGTGAGCAGTAGACATGTTTGTGGAAATATAGCCCAGTGTCAGAACTGCTTCAACACTGCTGTAGAGCACATAGACAGATAGACGAGAACGAGAATATTAAAGATGTGGTTATTTATAAGCTTTATTTATAATAAATGGATACAACATTTGCAACAATTACTTTGCCTATGACTTCTAGTCCCTTTGCAATAAGGCATGCACTCTGATCCAGTTATTTTTTAGGTCTCTGTAGCTCCTGATATACCTGAGCGACCACATTTCTTTTAGCAGAACAAGCTGCTGCCCTGCTCTGCAGTGCCCGGATAGAGGTGTGACTTCCATGGGCTTCAGCAGCACAGATCAGTTAATGGGAAGGTCGGTTCCCACCTGCCATTAACTAGTGATCAGCACAATGCCAGGGCTGACCATATCCATCGTGGAATGATCCTTGCAGGAAGCAGCCAGCTAGCCTACTGTGGTGTGCTGCATAAACTGATACTCCTCACCTTTGAGCTGCCTAAGGAATAAGTTGGGCATAATTCAAGTTGAGATGAAAGTTGGAGGGGTAATGAGGCTCATACGTCGTTTCTCTTCATTGTTTCCACCACTGTGACCTGTTTCATGGCGAACAGAAGTCTTCCTAGCAGCCACCATTTTTTCTTCTGAGGCAGCTAGGAACGACACAAGGGTATTGTTTCCAGTGGACTTCAGGGGAGGAGGGCAGCTTGCAGATACTCAAGAAGATTTTCTTTATTTAAAGTATTTTGCCATGTTCTTCAGCCAGAATAGCTCTCAAATTAACTTACATAATATGCATTGCATGAGTTTGCATAAGACTGTAAACCTGTAGTCTGGGACTATGCAAAGGTTCTGATATGGGATGAAGAGGGAAGAGGTGAAGAAACATATAGAGTCATCATTTCTTAAAGTTACAACTTGCTTGTCCAAACCAGCTTAAATAGCAGTCAGTTCCAGAGAAGGAGTCAATGGATCCAGTCTCTCAGTACAGCCAAGCAAGTAGTCCTGCTTCCCAAATTCTTTCTCCTGCAGCTGAATGGAATGTCTGTTTACAAATAATCAATGACAGAAGGGAGTTCTCCTTTGCCTTACCGCCAGAAAAACTTGCATTTCCTTCCCTCTGCAAAATACCAAAATGGCCCGCCACTTCATTTAAACAACTTCATATGGGAGCAAAAAATTAATAGATTAAATAATAAAAAATGAACTGGATTAATATCCAATATTTGCATCTGCTTCAAATCAGTAAAACAGCCTTTGCTGGGCTTGACAGATGCTTGCTTGCTTGCTTGCTTGGTTTGTTTATTAAAAGCTTTTGTATGCCATCCTATTATGCAAGTTCTTTAAGAGAACTTTACTGAAAAAGCTCCATTTTTTTCTTGCTGTGTAAATGAGCATAACTGTCGCTGCAAGAATTTGGTACTCTAAATCTACTTAGGGAACATAGTCCCCAGTGTATGACTACTAATAGTATCTTCAGCTAAGAAACCCAAAATAAAAACATTCACCATTAGCAAGTTGTTCAATCAGTCTTTTCAGAGTCTTTTCCAGTTGCTTTGTTCATTAAGCACAGATACCTTAAGTTCTGAAAAAATGTGGCTCTAAATAATACCAGGTTGCTATGTCTAGGACAGCAGATGTTAGGTTTAAATTTGGCTGCTTGTCTGCCAGTCATCATTCAAATAATTTTGGAACTATGCTTAGTCAGAAATGGAACTGCTGGAGTGGGTTTCGGTGTTTGAACTTTTAGCACTGCTGAGGGCCAATCGATCTGACATGGAGGTTAAGCCTGTGTCCCATGCCATTTCCTCACAGATTTCACCCCATCCCTCCTTAAGCTATTTTCCCTCAAGGGGGAAGACAGACAGGCACCATATGGGTACCCGTAAGAGTGGCTCCAGGGAGCAACTGCAAATAGAATCTAGCTATTAACTACTGCTTTCCAAATTAAAGTCAGGAGCTTGGCTCTACGTTTTTGTATTTCCTAAGCATACAGTACTACGCACATCCAATTTTCTCCTGTTTAAATGTGCAGAGGATCGTATTGTAAGATGGGAAACTTGTGCCTGAACTGTACTGCTTTGGACAACAGATTCAATGACAGAAAATACAACAACTGAAGTAGTAATATCCCTCATTACAGCATTATCAGGTTGTTCAGAAGAAAGACTACATGCTGAGATATTCCCATATTCCAGCACATCTGGAGAGCAGCAGAGGTGCTGGGAAAGATGTCTGTCATCCATCATTCTTATAAAGCATCATGTCATGTTCATAATAAGAGAGTATCAATGTGGATTTTTTTCAGGAGTACATAAGGATGTTAAAGAGTAAGAACATACACATATCCCTGATACTCCTCACTAGTCAGACCTCATCTGGAATATTGTGTCCAGTTCTGGGCATAAACATTTAAGAAAGATGCAGAAAAAATTGAAAGGGTCCAGAGGAGGGCAACGAAAATGATCCAGGGTTTGGAAACACTGCCCTGTGAGGAGAGACAGAGAACTGGGCATGTTCAGCCTTGAGAAAAGAAGACTGAGGGGAGGGGGGCATGGTATTCCTTGATAAGTAACTCAAAGGTTATCAGAAAGAAGAAGGTCAAGATCTCTTCTTGCTGATGCCAGAATGTGGGACATGGAATAATCAATTCAAGTTGTGGCAACCCAGATTCAGGCTGAGCATCAGGAAAAGCTTCCTCACTGTCAGAGAAATACAACAGTGGAACCAGCTACCTAGAGGGCTCTCACATACCAGAGACACTCAGAAAGAAACCGGACAGCCATCCGAGTGGGCTGGTGAGTGGGATGGTGTAACTTGGTGTCCTGCAACAGCAGGAGGTTGAACCCGATGGCCTTATGGCCCCTTCCAACTCTACTGTTCTATGATGTTATAATTCTGTGAGATGTAAAGACAGCCTCACTGGATCATATGACCCAGAGTTGTAATGAACTGTGCTAGAAAAAAGGGTTTCTGGCATTACCTTTCAGGTTATGATGTGGTTTGGTCAACATTTGCTTTCCAACATTTAGTAAAAACAATGGAAACAACTAGTGTTAGAAGCGCTTCAAATATTTATTTCCATGGCAAAAATAGACTATGATATAATTCATTTCACATATATTACATATCAAAGTAAAACAAGCCTGTCTATCAAATACAATTTGTACATTGTTTTACAAATCGATTTCAATTGTACAAGATTTAAAGCTGCAGTGATTATACATTTTACAGTACTGATTGAGAGAGAAAGAGAGAGAGAACACACGTACTTAAAAAACCCTTTGCTTGACACTAGAAAAATAATACTTTAATAGGGAGCATGTGCTACTGTTGAAACGAAGTACTGTGTAATTCCCTGTATACTGGCGCAAAAGGAGGGGGAAATTAAGGGGAAGATGCAGCATCTCTTTCACTTGCATAGTCAGTTCTGAAAGCTGCTGAGCACTCAGTTAAGGCCAATGTTTTATCTCGGGATACCTTGTGGCTTCACACATCCCCAGAGTGGCACAAGTGGCCACCCATGCCCATATCTGTCCTGGTCTATGGAAACATAGGGATGATGCATTGTATGCTATCCCAGTGCTGTTCAGCCCCTTGGAAGGACATTACAGGTGTAGAAAGGAACTTCACTATTTGCCCTGCCATGAAGTTCTTCCCTAGAAACAGGCAGGAGGCTGAGAGAGCTGGACACTTCCAGGCCATGGTATTAGCATAGGAATCCAATCCAGGCTACCACTCCTGTCCTCACCCTGAGCAAGCAGGTGAAGCCAATAGACTTTGGAGCTCAGGAGCAATTTAGGATGGGAGCATCATATACCAGCTTTGACAGTGTTATCTTTTCTCTTTAAAATGGCTTTAGTTTTTTAAAAACTGACCTACCTGATTATTTTTCTTATAGAGCCTTTCTGCAAATTCCTTTTAGGCTGTTTCAAACTTCTCTAATGTGTTTTAGGATGACTTATGAATAAAATAAAATAGCACGTAACTTTCCTTTATATGTTTAGACAGCCTTGTTTTTTAACTAGTGTTTCAAGTTAGTAGCGTAGGCCTAACGTTGTTGTAGGTCTTTTTAAAAAGCCATGCTCAACCTAATAGTCTCCTTATTTCTTTAGGTCAGGCTTCATCTGCATTTATTAGGTCAAATATTGCCTTATTTACTACCACAGGTCTTTTCAGGGGAACAAAAACCCATGGCACACCCTTCCTTTCACATCAACCTAAGTTCTGTAAAATTAATAGTAATCTTATAATGCAAGTTCATGGACTTGTTTAAAAAAAAACAACTCCAAGAAAATGGAACCAATTACACTACACCTGAAAGGGCTTGTTCAAGGTAATTGAGGAAGACCTGAGTGGGAAAGAGCTGGACCTCCACCATATACAGCAAGATGATTCTTTCTTCTGTCCGAGATCCAGAACATGCCATATCACAGCTTGCACTTGCACATTCCCCACAATGGATGACTGCACAATGGCGCCAAAGAGTGCCAAGGAAACTGGTCCCTACAGTGTTGTAGTGACAAGAGTCACAAACCAGAGAACGCCCTTGCCTGCCCTCGCCAAGGTCTTGCACATAAAAGCGCTCAGACTCACTGAAGAGCCAAATCTGTAGTTCTCTGGGTTGTGTCTAGATTGGACAGTGCAATATCGCACCACTGAGGTTTCTGAACTGTTTTCACTGCACTGAAAAAGGGTTCCTATAATGCATGCTTTATAGCTTATAAATCTGGTCTTGAGCTTAACTTTAAGAGCAGCAAACACAAACACACACACCAGCAACAACAAAAACCTAGATGAAACTCACTGCCTGCAAACATTTTGCTCATCATTCACATGGCAATTTCTTAGCAAGGTGTCCATAATTGTGGATGCACTTAGTATGACTATACTTTGCATTACTAAGTAGAGTTCATGCTAAGCAGATATAAAAGTTGGACAACATCCCCCCCACCCACCCCCGATTTATATCCTGCCTTTTTCCTACAAAGGGCTCAAGGCAGCTTACATCATTCCCCTCCTCCATCTTATCCCCACAACAACAACCCTGTGAGGTAGGTTGGGCTGAGAGTCTGTGACTGGCCCAAAGTCACCCAGTTGGCTCCATGGCCAAGTGGGGACTCAAACCCAGGTCGCCTAAGTCCCAGTCCCACGCTCTTAGCCACTACGCCACACTGGCTCATATTCCAAGAAAAGAGTGAATTGAGCTCAGTTAATTACATCCACATGGGTGAAGAAAAAGAATGCTCAATCTGTCCAGCCCCCTTAAATGCCAATAAGCACTTTGTTGAGAAAACATCCCACCCTAGAGAAAGACAGGTAGAATTGGGAACCAGTGTTGTTGGAGCACATGCCACTCCTCTTGTTTCAGTGACAGGTAAGTGCCTAATGAAAAATTCACACTCTCTCTTTTCTTCTTGAGGTGAACAAACAAGGCTGTTATGAATAGAGTTTTAACCCTATTATATAGAAAAGGTAGCACTTAATTGCATCTTCAAGGAATAAAAACTTGATCAACCAAAAGAGAAAATTTAATAGAATCATAAAATCAAAATATTTGGAGTTTCAAAAGCCATATTAAAAATAACTCCCTATAAACTATGTCTCTATGACTACATGTTTGCATATCCATTCATTTTGCTTTAAAAAGTAAAAATGAATGCTGTAAGAATAACCACGCTTCTGAGTCCCACCTTGTGCGTGCAGAACAGATTCAAATCGATCAGTCGCCTCCACATTTCCCTGCTGTCTCTACCCATCCCACCCTTCAGTATGGACACAGGAAACCCACTTTGAGGGAAGCTCTCTTAAAAACGTAGCATTTTTAGTCTGTGAGCAAAATGTTGGTTCAAAGGATTCTGCCAAACACCACAACTCAATAGAATCCCTTGCAGAAGCTGCTGTTGATGGCAACATCCAAGGCAGGTTGGGGAAATAGAACACCCAGGCTGTTTTCAGAAAGGGAAGGATATCACAGGTCACTCCCACTAGAGCCACTGAGGTTGTGCTAGTGTGGACCAACAGCTGCCCAATGTACATGGTGCAACAGGGAAGGCAGTGAATTTTGGTTGCAAATTGCTGCATTTTCCAATTACACAAAGGAAGTATACTGCTGGATACTACCCAGCAATGACAGCGGCAACAAATGCTGCATAATGTAAATATTTTATTTCCTTTCAGCACCACTAATGTCAAAACCAGCCTGGGTCTTCTGCCCACTGTCCTTAAGCCAACTCAAGAGCATGTCCTGAAACCTAACTGGACCCTCCAAGGCACACCACAACTTTTGACAGTAGTTTAACCTCCTCTCCGTGATAATTTTACAGCCTAAGAATAGACATGGCCAATGTTTAAAAGAAGGAAACACATTACCTGGAGCCTGCAGCTCAGACAGATCAATTTGATGACGGACTAATTACTGCACAATAATCCTGAAAGGACGGCTAACATTGCTTTGAGGCATCTTCTTTTATCTCTGTAGTATTCACAACCACTAGAAAATAAGCATGCTAGGGAAGGCTCCGTAAAGAATCACACCCTCTCAATAACTGTTTGACTGCATGCCAGACACTAGGGAGAATCTATTCATTTTTGCATTAATATGCATACTTTCTGTTGCTTAGGTTATTGCCATTTCTGCTCATCCAAGTGATTACAAAGAAGCAGGCGGACCTATTGAAAATTGTGTTCCCTACTAATCTTACCTCAACAATACTGCAGGGACTACTACTAGTGATGTTCAAGGACAGGATGTTGTTCAAGGATAGGCTAGACAAGCACATGGTGGGCATGTCGTGAGCAGAGCAGACTGGAGCCGGGGGTCAGACTAGATGGCCCAGGAGACTCCTTCTGACTCGCTGTATTTCTATGTTTCTATGTTGGCCAGCAAGTGAAATGAGCAGGTTCAAAGAAAATTGGACAAAGCGATTTTTTCCCCCCTCTCGCATAATACTACTGGCAGGGGAGCCAACGCATGCAAAGGGAAGTCCTCCTTCGCACAGCACATAGTTTGCCTATGGAATTAACTTCCACAAGACATTGTGATGGCCACCAATCTGGAAGGCCTTAAAGGGGATTGGACAAATTCATGGAAGCTGCGGCTATCAATGGCTACCTGTCCCGGTGGCTACTTGCTACCTCTACTATCAGAGGCAGAACATACGCCAGTGGCTGGGTCACTTGGGTTGGGAGGCTGCTGCTGCACTCGCATCTGGCTTGTGGGTTTCCTGTGGTCATCTGGTTAGCTGCTGTGTGAACAGGATGCTGGACTAGATGGACTCTTGGCCTGATCCAGCAGGGCTCTTCTTACGTTCTTATCAATGTAAGGCAATATAAGACTAACTTGACTAACTTTCTTGACGAAGGAATATAAACAAACATCAAAAAATCATAATACTGCAACCTCTCTGCCAAAACCAACAATCACACTTGCACTCTCCCATCTCACATTCAGCTTCCTTAGTCACCAGTGTGCAATGTCCTACTTTAAAACCAGTTCACCTTTCAGTCATTCCAACTTAAAAAGCTTTTCCAAAAATAAAATTAGGAAAAAGAATTCTGGTGCGCTATTCAATTAAACATATCGGTACAAACCTAAAAGCTTCCCTAGATAAATAACCGCCAACAAAGTGCTTAAGTATCACCTGCATCCATTTTATTTGCAACCAAGTATTAGCAAACTGCCTTCTAAATATATGAATAATACTGAGGGTACAACTTCAGCTGTTGCGTTTGGGTAGCTACACAGCATTCAGCAATTCCAGTTTTCTGTGTGGCCTAGAACTGTCAGCAAAAACATCCTCCTCCAATTTTGTAACTCTGTGGATAAAAGAATGCCATTTGTAACCATTTCTCCTGGCTTCTACCATCTTCCTTTACACCTGTAGGCTTCCCGCAAGGACATTTGTTATTGTTTTATAACACCCCAAACTATACAAGCCATTCCCACCTTCCACTTCCTTCCTCTTCTCTGTACAAAACTTAAAACCAAAAAACTCAAACCTTTCCATTCCTCCCACATATGCACGCACACACACAGGCACACACAAACACACACACATACAAACACTTCTGAAATATTGTGCTGTTTTTAACCTTTAGACAAGTACAACTTCCCAACCTTCTAATTGAACTGCTTTAAGTGCTACATTTAAGGGGGTTTTGCAGATGCTGGTTCCAATATGAAACTGGTACAATTCACAAGTATTTTAAATATAAATATATATGTATATATTAGCATTGATTTAAATACAAAATTCAAAGCACAGTAATGTAGTTTGTGACCTTTCTATCTGCAGGGCACACATATTCTCCCACATATTACATCTTGACAGATATAGCTTCAGAGTTTTCCTGTCTTTACTCTGAAAGTGGGTTGTTTTCATTTGTTTGTTTATTTTAAAAATAGAATTAAAAGTATGTGAGCAATGATTTCCAATATGGTGCAGTGCTGTCTTGGCAGGATCGGCATTTGTTTTGCCTACAGTAACACAATCATTAGGTACATGAAAAACACAGCAGCTCAGTACAAGGAAGGAAGGAAGGAAGGAAGGAAGGAAGGAAGGAAGGAAGGAAGGAGGAAAGAAGAAGGGAATAAGGAAGGAAAGAGAACACACACAGTCATTTTTTTCTTGTTCCAGCTACAACTGCACACAAATAAAGAAAGAAGCCCGCCTACTTGAAGTCTTGCTCTGCAAAGACCGACGCTGACAACACTGGACTTGCATGAAGCATCTTCAAACTGAGCCAGAAGGTCTGCCCCAATGGAAGGCAAAGATCTGCTTTTGTAAACTCTTCCAAAGAAGTGGCGCTTAGAAGTGGAGGGGGAAAGGTTTATATGAGCCTTGAACTCTTAAGGAATTGAATGAGAACTCCATAGACAAAGGTATATTGGCATAGAGTCTGCACCATCATCATCCTCTGCTGCCTCAACATATCCAGCATTCTTGGGATATCCAGAGCCTAGAAAAAGAAGATGAAATTGGAAATTAATATGCCTTCAATCCAGAAATTTCAGCCCCATGTGAGGATCGATGCTCTTCCAGGTTCTGGGGAGCTCTTGGACAAGACACTCTAGTGGGACAATACACCCCGTCTTCCTGAGTTCATCCATCCCCTCACCTGTACTGTTGCTAATGCCCATTCCCTTGCCCCTCCCTCAGCACTCAGCCTGTGCCACTTCACAGAGGGAGATACCCAGCTGTTCTCTCCTCCTTGTTCTTCTCGCCAGTTGCTTGCTTGCAAAGGGCAGGTGAGGAGCAGCAACATGGCAGGAGACCCATCCTCTCCCCACCGTATAGGCATGAGAGGGGACCAACAGCACCGCCAACATTTTACACCAGGCTCAAGGCAGTGAGGCACACACATTTACAGACCTGGGCTTAGATTCTAAGGGCACAATACTGTACATGCTTTGAGAGGGAAAAAAAGCCCTGGTTTGCTGGCTGAAGGACCCTGAAAGTTGTATGACTTTCTTCTGTCCAAACATGCAGAGAACTGGACTGTAAGGTCTTAACATAAGATCACAGAAGGAAAGTTTCCCTTCCCTTCCACCCATTGCACCGGGCCGCACATTGTTCAGGAAGACTCAGCCAACATCCAGAGAAGTTTCTGAGGGACTGGAGCTGGCTGTGATGGGCAGTGGGGAAGAAGTGATGGAGGAACTTTCCCTCCTGCATTTTGCAGACTGTGAGTTTTTAGCAAGAGTCAATTTCATTAGTGCCACTGCATAGCACCACACATTCCAAAGACCTGTTGCAAATCAGGGTAGTGAAGGTGCAGCCCTCCAGATGCTGCTGGCCTGCCACTCCTAGCAGTCCCAGCCAGCAGAACCCACAGTGGGGGATGAGGGGAGCCACAACCCACTACCCCCTGGAAGGCCGCACCTTCCCCATCCCAGGTGCAAATAGAACACAAAGGACAAGAAGCCCAGTGTTTTCTTCACTCCTTTCAAGCATTACATTTCTGCACAGCCCAGGAGCCCTCTGTTCCAGTCCTGTGATACAGGTACAGACCGCCAGAACGGAACCGGGCTCATCCTTGCAGAAGCAAAAGAGGCAGGATATAAGTACCGTGCAATCAGCAGCAGCACAATGAACGCCACTTTGTCTCTGCTCTGTGCCCAAATATCTCTGCTCAGCCCCCCTTGCCAAAACTGCAAATTCCTCAGAGAAGTGCCACGACAGTGCTGCAAAGATTTTTCTTTGATTTAGAAGGCTGAACTGCTATTCCTAAAATGGAGTTCCTGGCAATAAGAATTTTTGGTCAAAATATCCTGGTACTGGTGGGGCTTGTCCCATCCCTTTTAATTTCAGCCTCACCCACCACTAGAAAGCAGCCCTGAGAGGGTCTCCAACATGGAATTCAGCCCCTGGGCCAGTTGAGGATGAGAGTTCTGCTCCGTGGGTTGTTCAACACAATATGAGACACCGGCACCAGCACACCAGAGTTGAAAGAACAAAAAATAACCTCATTGTGTTCCAGGCAGGCAATCATGATCTCTGACAAGATGACCACTCCTGTTCTTCCAACACCAGCACTGCAATGGACCAGAAGTGGAGGGTTGGGAGTGGCAGGATCTGCAGTGCTAGTTGTGTGGCGCCTGACTGATTGTATCTCCTCCAAATAGGCTGCCCGGTTCAGAAAAGAAAGACAGATGTTATATGGGCTGCCCAGCGACTATGTAATCAAAAAAACAACAGCAAAGTCCAGAAGATAACAACAAAGTGATTGAAGATGGGTTCAACCTGGTTACTCCCACTTGCATATAAGGTTGCAGCTTTACTATTTACATGCATTTGCATATAAGCACCATTAAACACAGTTACCTTCATATGTAATACTAACCCCTGATTTAGTTAACCCATAATTATTGAACTCTGCTCCATTGTTGGACCCTATATTGTCATTTTGTTGCACTCAGAAATGTGGGTTGTTTAAGCTCTGTTTCAAGAAGTAATAGACAAGAGTGGTAAAACAAATTGACAAACAAAAACAGTTGCACTAAATGCCAGTACTAGGCGCTTGGGATACAAGGAGGGAGGTTGCTAAAGAGAAGAGAGACAACACAGTGTTTGAGAAAACAAGCCAAGATTTCTTCTATCATCTGCCAGACAAAACGTGGGTTAAATAAACCATGTATTAGCATTATGTGCAAATGTGGTCAGTGTAACTTATTTGTGAGTAAGCAAGCATAGAACTGTGCTTACTCATCAATTAATTACCTTGTCTTTTGTTGAGATGGCTGTTAAAAACTTCAGAACAGACCAGTGAAGTAGTTCATACAATTTATAATTTTACCAAGAAGATCCACTGAAACTTTATTATCTTTCTGTTTAAATGGAAAGGTAGCAAAGTTTGTTCTGTCCATTTGGCTCTTCTGTGATTCTATTTGTATTTTTACTATGTATTAACTTAGTATTAACATTTATTGGCTTGTGTCTACAATAAATTATTTAATAAATAATATACAATATAGCAATTCTATTAATAAAATAAAATTGTTATTATTATTGCTAACATATGATGATGATATTTTCTGGTGTGATGGTAACAGGCTGTAAAAGCTTTAAGGAGGAATTACAAAAATTCATGGGGGATTGAAAGTTGGTGCAATCTAGTGGTCAAAGCACTGGATTGGGACTGAGGATTTCTAAGTTCTACTTTCCACTCGGCCATGAAGCTCACTGTGTGATTATACACCAGTCACTGACTCTGAACCTAATCAGCCTCATAGGATTGTTGTGAGAATCAAATAGAGAGAAGGAAAACCATGGAAAGCCGCCTTGGTTTCCTTGCAAGAAGAAATAATGCAAGGCACTGTTTACTAAATAATGTAGAAAATGCATTCATTCTTTAGAGAAAGTTGTCATGTGCATCATGGTACATAGGCATTCTCCACGGAATTGACCATTTCTTGTATTTTTACCTCACCTTTCTATCAGATGGAGCTCCAACAAAGCTTACATAAGAAAATAAAATTACTGAAGCCATTAGAACAATTTAACTGAAATAATGAAATTAAAGCGAGAAATGAGCCAAGGAAGCAGCAAGAGAATGTACACAGACACAGTATCTGCTACAGGCCAGTTGTGACAAAGCCCATTCAAAACATAATTGTCTTTGGCATCCTCCAAAGTAACTGGGAGAAAGGGCTATCATGGAAAGTTCTCTTAAGCAAGAATTGTGGGCACATGCCGAGGAGTAGTCTACTCTGCCACTGCACTTCCTGTTATACTACTGGGAACACTTTTGGTTTTGCTTAACCACAGGACAGTGGTACCCTGGCTCTTGCTTAAGTACAGTGGTACCTTGGCTCTTCCTGTTATACTACTTGGAGCAACCAATAGTGCTAGTACTACCTGAAGCGATTGTGGAAATGCCTGCCTCCAGAATGGGACAGGTGAGTGGAATTCCTTCTGTGAGCTCCCCTGACCTGCTCCATTCAGAAAACTCGCCATGTGACCATTTCCATTCGCTTAAGAACCCTGCAGCTCCCTGTCGCACTAGCAGCAGGTTCCATCTGCACAGGGTCAGCAGTGCTTATCCAAATGTCACATTAATCCATAGTTTAGAGCAGAACAGGGGACTTTCGTTTTTGCTTAACCACAGGAAGTGCAGTGGTACCTCGGCTCACGAATGCTTCTGTTCACAACCAAATCGGGTCGCAAACAAAAAATTCATAAAAATTTTGACTCAGGTCGCAAACTCCGCATTAGGTGGCGGCTGCGATCACGGCCATCTCCCCGCCACCTGAGTGGGGAGATGGCCATGATCGTGGGGGGGGGTGGGGGGGAGATGGCCAAGATCGCGCCCACCTTTCCTGCATGAGTGTGCCTGTCATTGCGCCTGTCTTTCCTGCAGGAGCACAACTAAGATCTCGGCCATCTCCACCCCAAGCAGATCGTGGCCACAGATCGTGGCCATCTCAAGCCCGCTCCCCCTCGAGCGCACCTGTGTTCGCGCCTGTCTCTCCCCCCGAAGTGCACCTGTGTTTGTGCCTGTCTCTCCCCCACAATGCACCTGTGTTCGCGCCTGTCTCTCTCCCAACCCCCCCAGTGCGCCAGAATGACGGGCACGACTGCTGTCATGCTGGCGGGGGCGGAGAGATGGCTGCACTTGTGCCCGGGGCAGGGGTGGGGGAGAGATGGCCACGATCTTTGTTGTTCTTTGTCACTTTGCTTCATATTTTTCTGATTAAAAAAAATAGTTACAGAACCAATTAACCTTATTTACATTGAACCTTATGGGGAAATTTAACTTGGCTCACAACCAATTTGGGTCACGACCAGGGTCCTGGAACGGATTAAGTTCGTGAGCCAAGGTACCACTGTAGTTTCCTCTGAATTGACAAACTGTGATTAAAATTAAATTAAATTTTATGGCAGTTTGTTTAAAGCCATGCTTTCAAGTGCTTAAAAAAAGGCGAAGCACAGACAAGGTTAAGCATAATTTGTCAGTTCGGAAAAAATGGACTCTGGTTCTGCAAGAGCTGGAGTGGGGGGGAGCAGGAGGAGGGGATGGGGAAGTACAAGAACCCAAGGCCTGATGCAGCTCATTCGCAACATGCCAAACAATGCCTAAACATAGCATGTCGCCCAAATTCAGACCCTGTCATGCACATTGGGTACATGATTGGGGAAGCCCCAATCCTTTCTGTGAAAAAATGCAGCACCAATACATAATAGTGCAAAGTCAAAATGCAGCACCAATACATAACAGAGACTCAAAAGCCTCCAGAGTTTGGAGTAACATTTGCTAGCTATCCCTGCAGGAATCCACCAGACTAATTCTGCATTCTTCCTTTCTTCTGCAGAGTTCACAGCAGCATAAAGAACATTCCCATGCCTTATCCCACACAACTTGCTCCTCCTTCAGCAAGTTTGCGGTACCTTGTACATTCAAACCAAGGGTGCTGCTAGCGAATAAAAAGATTCAGGGCCTAGACCCATAGGACACATGAAATGTGCAAATGTTGATTATCTTATGCAAATACAAAATAATTTAAGGATTTATTTAAATTTCACAGGAGGCAAAGCTGGCCACTGAGAGCCACGGTGGTGTAGTGGTTTGAGTGTTGGGCTGCAAATCCCGGCTCTAGTTCCCACTGGGCCATGAAGCTCACTGGGTGACTTTGGGCCAGTTACTCACTCTCAGCCTAAGCTACCTCACAGGGTTGTTGTCACTACCTTGGGTTCTTTGCAAGAGTAAAAAAAAGCAGAATATAAATGCAATGTAGTGATAATTATTACACTCTTATCCAAATAATCTCAGATAAAAAAAATCTTGTTTGTTTTCCCATCACCCCAAATCAATAAAAACATAATTGCCATATGCAAAAGATGGGGGGGTACAGCATGTGGGGAGGGGAGAAGTGACCCATAGCAATGCCTCCACTTCAGACTGCATCCTAATGATCATGAACATGAGCAAAACCTGCACATTCAAACAAAGCAAAATGACACAATCAAGTATTCCCTCAATGGATGAATGGGAACCGCTCAGAACATCTCCTTCCCAGGAAGCAACCATGGGTTGTATTCTCTAACAGAAAGCAACAGTAAAAAGAACTTACACAGAAACCCTTTTATGTCCTCTGGGCAGCCATGTTCGGGCCAATCAGTATACTGGAGATGCCAAACTGTCCTCTCTTGCCCTGTTAGGAGGTGCTTGATCTTCAAACCTGTTGTTGCATAGCAACCTGAGTCTGTCCGGAAGCGGGTGGTAATCTTGAATCTGCCATATGTTACTGTATTGTGCCTGGAGCCAAGTCGTGGCCAGTATCGGAAACTTTTCTCTCGGCCTCCCTCCTGGAAACATGAAGTTTAGTCAACAACGAGTCCAACAGTGCTCTTTCAAAGGTTCTACAAGGGCTTGGTTTAGTATATCGCTATTTTATATCCTGCCTTCCTTCCACGGAGCTCATGGTGGCATACGTGGTTCTCTTCCTTCTGCCAATCTTATCATGGGGAGACTAGTCTGAGAGAGCACACTTGATGTCTCAAGGCCACCTAGCGAACTTCATGGGTGGGTAGGGATTCAAACCTGCGTTTCCTAGACTGGCACCCCAATCCAGCATTCTCTAGCCTGGTGTCCACTGGCCATGGTGGATGGGAATGATGGCAGCTGCAGGCCAACACATTTGGAGGATACCAGGCTGGGAAAACTGCTCTAACCACTGTCTTATGGTGTCACAGAAACAGAGGAACAGAGTGAGTCAGAAGGGTCCTCCTGGGCCATCTAGTCTGACTCCCAGCTCCAGCCGGCTCCACTCATGACATGATCTCTCTCTCTACTTCAGCCTGTTAAACCTGGCCAATCAAATTCAGAGTGGAGGGAAAGCTAAGAAATATGTTCATGGGGCATTTTATGTTTATACTTCTGAGTAAGAACTAGGACCTCAAAGGTAGCAGCTTCTATTCTTCCATTAGTACAGAAAAACACTCACCTCTTCTGCAGTGACCATGGTTATAATGGCAATCCCTTGCTCCCAGACCATCTGCCAGAAGTCTTGGCATGTATTCTGTAAAGGACCTTGGGTTGCAATATAATCCCACTCCATTCCCCCAACACAAACCTGAGAAACAAACAAGAAAGGATTATGGGTACCAAACAGGTCCATCAAACTTATCTATCCATAATGCAGGTGCTTGGAAAAAAAATTAAAAAGACCCACACCATCTTGCAGTAACAGTGGAAATGGAGGTGCAAGTAAGGCACTGTATGGGAACTTCCACAGAATCCTAAGCTCCTTGGCAAAAGGCATTGTGTGGCAATTTCCTCTTTCCCTCCTTGAGGGATTTTTTGTTCCTTTACCACTACATTAAACAAAGCAGTAGAAGCGGGAAGGAGATATGCAAAGGTTACCAGTGGAACACATTGGTGCCTGGCCTGTATTGCAAAATTGCATGTATGACCCAAGGAAATGCAAGATAAAAAAGCCTCTTCTGGAAGCACCCTGGATCTACCTGAGTGCTTTTTGCTTCTGCCACATTCTTCCTCTGTTTTTTATTTAATCTCAGAAGCAGAATTTGTTTCACTCAATATAAGACAGAACGAAACATGAGTATGGCCTCTTGGTTAGGTGCGCTCCCTCTGTGCCAATTAGAAAGCTGAAAAGATGCTTGGTAGGGTCATCTGCTCCAGGCAAAGTTACAGTATGCCTCTTAAACCTACTCAATCGGCTTCAGAATTAAGCAAAGGTTGACTGAGGGATTCAAATGCAATGGAACTCACTTCATGTTTGTGTTCCTGAATTCAGAAATGCCACTCAGTCACACAGGGCCCTGAAAACAGCAGCTTCCAAACTAATTCCCATTGAGAACAAGTGAATTGCTCTGAGTCAAAGCACACATTCAAACAAGTTACTCCTGAGGTACAAGTCAAAAGGATCTGGAAATGCAAGGCATGTAGTTTGCTATGTTTCCTGTGAAGTCTTACAGAAAATAAAGGCAAGGAATGGGAAGTGGCATGTTGAATGAACTTACATTATCTGTGTCTCACCTTCTGGCTGTATTTGTATATAATAAGCAGGAAAGAGCCTTTGCCAAGTGCTAGGCTTGAGTTCCCCCACACCTTCCCTCCTCCTCCCATACAACCAGGGGGAAGAACAAGCTGCCATGCAGTTGTACTTTTCACAATGCTTGCCTTATCTATATGTGTAAACCAGGAATCTGGGTTTAAAATAAACTAGTTTGCTAATGATCCAGGATTTGTTGTTGGCTTGTTTATTCATTGGCTAGAGAGTTCTATTAATAACTTACAAGGTTTTATTGAATCCATGATTCTTGCTTCCGACATGTGAGAAGCCAAGGAACTGGGCATGAGAAACTGATTCATTCCTACCCCCAACTGCACAAGGGAAGAAGAGGGAGGAACTCACTCCAGCTCCTTTTGTCATACATACAGCACTCAACCATGGTTTAGGATTACATCTGAGCCCTCCCCCTGTGTCGCAATTAGGAAGAGCAGCATCTCCTTGCACTAGTACTCCGTTGGGCTTTCCCTAGTATAACTAGCCATCAAGCCAGCCTCTATAGCAGGTTTGGTTCATGTCCACCTATTTTTAATTTAAAAACAGCCTAACCTCACCTTAATGTGGGATGCATTGATATAACCCGTATTATTTTCTTTTGTAGGGACCAACTCTACTCTGGTGTCATCATAAGGAAGTACATCTTGGAACCTGTTCCGTTCTGCATTTTCTGGGAGGCGAGCAATCGAACAATCACCATCCACAAGCCTTTTCTTTTGAATCCGCTCGTATTCCGTAAATACCATTCCTTGTTCCAACCGTTGTTCCAAACTTTTACACTAGAAAATAGGAAACAAAAGGAAGATATTTAATTTTTGCCCATAAATAAACGAACAAGGACACTGCTTCTCCCTAATCTTCTCTGATCACTAAACTCTTCCGAAGAGACACTCCTGGTCAGAGGTCCACTCAGAAACCACCAGTGGGGCCTTTACTGTCACAGCTCCCACAGTATGAAATGCCCTTCCAGCTAAGATCAGGTATGTATCTATAATGCTTCACTTGCATGAAGTCTTTCCTGACTGATAAGTACATTCAGTCTTAGAGCCCTTGCTCTATTGTGCTATTTGTGTTCATATTACTTTTTCACATTTTGTGTTTGAATTTATTGTGCAAATCAGTGTGACCTCTCTCAATGAGGTGCAGCTTATACATTTTATAACCATCATCAAATACATAAAATGGTTTAAAAGGATGGATTTTAAAAACTGATTTACATATAAATCAAATCTCCTTTATTTATCAACAACAGATCTTTAAATATCCTTATTCCTGAATTTGCATTCGAGACAGAACCTCGTAAAGTGGCTCACCACATAAAGCAATTAAGAATCAATGACATGTAAATAAAAATGAGGAGCAAATCTACAAACAACCAAGTCAATGAAATCCAATGCATTTCAGGCATAAGCAAAACAGGAAGTTTCCTCCTTGTTCATCCATCCAACAGCTGAAAGGACAAAACTAGCGGATTAGATTTCCCCTCCCTTTGGTAGCCCTACTACCAGAGCTGATTTGGGGTAACAGGAAATGCAGGTGGTAGAGGTGGGGGGGGACTCTATTTGGAGGATGCTGAACACAGATCAAAAGCTTTTGTAATTTCTGACTAAGACTTGAAATAGGGGTCTGGCAAGAGGAGGCATGGACAGCATCCTAAAATGTGTATGCCACCACAGAAACATTCTGCTCTCTTCCTCATGGCCACCTACCTAACTTGGAATATAGGGACACACAGAGTGGGGGCCCAAAGTAAAAAGATCTGCAGACCTATATACCTCTGCACTGTTGTGTAAAGGCTCTCTGAGTGATCCACAAGATAAATTCAGGATAAATCTAATAAATGCAAACTGGCATAGGAACAAGAAAAATCAACAGTCATTTGATGTGTACAGTGGTATGCAAACCCTAATGCCTTCACTCAGATATAAATTTTCAATTAGGGCAATGAAAATTATGCAACTGTGAAAAGTGACAATAAACATTGAGCATATGGCTGAAAGAAAACATTAAACTAACCCGTTCATCATTTGTTGCTCTGGCAGGTTCCTCCTTTCCTTCATCCGGCAGTGGCAGCCGAGATAACGTCAGTCCATTTAGAGCAGCTAACTTCAAAGGTCCTATCTTTTTGGCTTCAGCTCTGTTCTTTTTCATGACCTGCTGGAACAAGACAAACTTACAACACAAACTTGGGTCAAATGAAATTGCTGGAGTTTGGTAGGGGGAAAAGGGAAGCACCTCCAGCCGTTCTTTTGCAAGTAGTGAAGGAAAAGACACAGCAACAGCTCCTCTGGCTAACACGGTTCTACAGAGACTTGCAATAGCAAAGCAACATTCTTTTCATCCTGTCAGTCTTCATTCCTCCTTCAGCCTTTTGAAACTTTACTAGTATGATAAATAGACCTAAGCAAGATAGGACTGTTGCAGACACTACAGATGACAGCCCAAAACCAGGACAGGACGACCCCAATCTAGCATTCAAGTTGCTTAATTCTTATAAAATCCAATTTATTTATGCCGCTACCTTGTCCTTCTTCCTCCAAGGCACTCAGGCAATAGCAGCAACATGGCCTTCCTACCATTTATATTTTATTTATTTATTTATTTAGAGAACTTCTATGCCGCCCCATTCGCCGAAGCCTTGGGGCGGCTCACAATCATAAATAAATAACATAATATAAAACAATATAATTTAACAGTATAATTTAAGTCGCCCTGGCCAAAGAATAAAATAAATAAATAATATTAACAATTAAAATAACATTTGAATAAAAAGGTCTTCGCCTGGCGCCAAAAAACAAAAAACGACGGTGCCAGGCGGACCTCTCTGGGGAGCACATTCCATAGATTATTCCATATTCACAACAATCCTGACAGAAATACAAGTCTGAGTGTGCAGAGCTGGCACAAGCTTTGTGGCTGAGTAAGGGAACTGAATGAGGATCCAAGACCAATACTCTTAATTGCACAGGCTTGAAAAGCAAGCTAACTATAAAAGAATGGAAAAGAATATAGAACAGACAAGCTTTAATACAAATCCTTGATATGAATGTGTCCAGTTCTGGTTGCCTCACCTAAGGACATCACTGAACTGGAAAAAGTACAGAGAAGGGCAATGAAAATGATCAGGGGGCTAGAGCATCTTCCCTATGAGGAGTGGCTACAACAACTAGGACTGTTTAGTTTGGAAACATGGTAAGGAAAGGAAGACATGACAGAGGTGTTTAAAACAATGCATGAAGTGCAGAAAGTCGAGAGGAAGATATTTTTCTTCCTTTCCTGTAATACTCAAACCTGGGGTCATCCCATGAAACTGATTGGGGGAAGGTTTAGAACAGACCAAAGGAAGTGCTTTTTCACACAACAAACTAAACTATGGAATTTGATGCCACAAGATGCAGAGATGGCCACCAACTTACATGGCTTTAAAAGGGGACTAGACAGATGGCAGGAGAGGCTATCAGTGGCTACTCGCCTTGCAAGTTCCTTTGCCAGAGGTGGCCTGCCTGCACCCACCAGCTCCTGGGGAGCTTGGGCAAAAGGAAGTCTTTGCAATCATTTTGCTTGAGTGACCCTGTTAGCAGCTGGTTTGCCACTGTGTATATGGAGTACTGGACTAGATGGTCTGATCCAGCATAGCTCTTCTTATGTTCTTACACAGAATCATATCCAGAACTAGTTAGCAACTGGAAAACAAAGGGGAGAAAGTGTGTAGACTTCATCTGATGCCACTCCTATGCACACTGGGGGCAAGGGGCTTCACCCTTCCAGTTCCCTTCTGGTTCACAGAGCAGAATGGAACCAGTGGCCATTGCCTGATTCTTAGAATAATGGTAGTACCTTCCAAACAGAAAGTTGCCCATCTTTTTCAGGAAAAGTTTTTCCCACTCTCAACACTGGAACATGCAGAACTTCTACCTAGATGTGCCCTCAAACAGCAGAACTAATGAAGCTAGCCATCAGCCACAAAGGGAACCTTGCAAAGCAATGTGTGAATGTAAAGCCAATTCACACACTATAAATCACTGTATGGAAGGCACCCTATATTGGTCCACTGGACCTTTCTTTACCAGATTTCTACACCTGCATGGTCATCCTGAAAAATCAATTTGCATGTCAGGTGACAGAAGCTGTTAAAGACTTTGCAAAATTGTAACATGGCATATATATGTTTCTGCATATCTTGGACTGTGCAACTACACCTTAACGCACAGAGACATGCACACAGCCCCAACACCAACAGTAAGCAAGAATTCAACCAAAATTCTACTATGGGAAAATTCTGCTCTATTTCGCAACAGTAAAGCACACTTTACTGTTTTGCAGAATTTATCCTGCTAGGACTAACAATCAGGGAAAACAAAGGAATCTCCAAAACACAAGTGCTGCCTCCTTTGGCCACTAGAAGTTTTGTTCAGCCATTCAACTGGCTTTTGAAGTTTCACCAGACCTGCATTGCCCACAGACTTTCAATCACATTTTCACATCTTTTAACAACTAGAATTTTAATTTTACTGAAGACTGAGATTCTTGTGAAACTGAATTCTGCTGCTAGTGACACCTTCTGCAGTTTTTATACATTTCTGTGAAATATGCAGAACACACATTCCTGTGTGTAACCTATTAAATACACTTCAAAATATCACCACCAGAAATTTGATCTTTATTATTTGTAGGCAAATAATTGTCCCTAACTCAGAATATTTATTATTTGTAGGCAAATAATGTCCCAATTAATTATTAATTGTCCCTAACCCAGAATATTTATTATTCCAATTTTCTATATTGCATGTTAGCAAAATTGGGAGATTATCCAACTCCTTAGGACAATGCCAGCCAAACATGCACCCTGATGGCTATCCCCTGGAACAGAAACCCAACACACACCAGGATCCAGGGCACCTCAACAGAAAACAGCCACAGTGGGGAAGTGTGATATTCTGTGTTAAAACAAGTGCCTGCATTCAGTAGCATGTTACTCTGAAGGTGACATCCAATTCAATCTTGTAGCTTTGAAGAGTAAAAAGTAAGTGAACAGATACCAAGGCTAGTAAAAGCAGGTGCCTAACCATAACCAAAGCACCTGTAGAATTAAAAAAACTACATTATGTAAGGCAAAGATTTTTGTGGGACTAGAAATAGGTGAGTTAGAGTAAGACAGGTGATCTGAGCAAAGATGCTATACCACACGTTACGGCGAGTTAGGGGGTGGCAGGATTTGAGCAGGGGCTTAGCCTAAAGTCTATAGCAGACAGACAAGACAATGATTATCTATTTAGGTGGAGGCAACCCTATTATGTACAGCAAGGAAAGGTGGAGTTCAGGCTTATGGGATCCACTTTGTTCTCTTTTTGAACTCTGAGATCCACCAAATGGCATCTAGTTCAGAAAATGTATGCTTGAAATTAAAGAATTCTGGAACCAGAAATTTATTTTGGGTACAGTATTAAATTAAATGACACTCCTAGTTCTTCCACAGAAAATCTACTCCAAGATTTCTACATTTGAGCAACATGATTAATGGGAAAAAGAAGAGCTACATCATTGGTGCCATTGTTAACTAATCGTAAGGCAGATATTCTTCCTGATCCACTGCAAATCACCCAGACATCTACAAGCAGATCTTGATCTGCCTCTACTGTATATCACTCAGCTCACTCAGCTCATGGTGAGGCTAAAAGCCAATTAAGGTAATCCCTCAGACTACTACAATGAAAGCAAAATTCTGAGCATCATCTAGAAGATGGGTGGGTGGATCTGAGATGTTCCAGATGTTAGTGGACTCCAACTGCCAGTCATTATGGCCAATGGCCTGGGATGCTAGGATCTCTATTCCAATAGTATTTGAAACGCCTCTGGTTTTCCTTCCCTGCACTAGAAAGAAAAAAATCCAAAGCATTTTAGCACAAACTAAATGCTAAATAAATGTCATACCAAAGGCCCATTTTCAAGAAAAACAGTCACTTCTCAATTAAAGGATTAATCTAGGCATAAACTTGTATAGTTCAAACAAGGGTTGAATGTGGGCTGTCACTGAACCATGGGTTGTTGTTGAAAAATGGGTTATCACATTGTTTGAAGCCAGTCAAGATGACATACCACAGTGAACAACCTATAGTTCAGAATCCAGCAACGAAACATAGGTTTTCTTCATGGTTAACAAGCTGTAACTTGTTGCTATGGCTAGGTCCAGACAACACAATAACCCAGTTAAATGACAAGTGTGGCTTATTATATGGACTGGGTTTGCTGCTTTGAAATAGTTATACCATGTTTCTTGAATATTCTCTTCTATCTGTGTCAAGAAGCTTTCCAGTATGAATGCCTAATCATACACTCAACTGGATTCAACTATAATTCTTCTCAGATAAGTAAGGATAGAATTGTAGCCTCAGCAACAAAACACAACACAACAGCTCCCAACAATACAAACCAAGTTGACAGAGGAGAAAGGAGAGCATCTATGTAAGTGAAATAGTTAATATGGGAAAGTAACACAAATGAGAAGAAATTATACTGAGCAGAAGGCAGGGAAGTTAAAAGATAAGAAACCTTTGAGAAAATTAGAGCCCCTCTTGGTTTGGAGGCATTAGTAGAGGCAGGAAGGAATACATAGCATAAGCACATTCTGATAATCACCAACTCTATTTGCCTATAAAATTATAATTACACTACATATTTAGATTATAAAGGTTAAATGAAAAGTGCAATTTAATCATAATAAAAAGATTAAATCATTAGTGCATTTTAATTATTTATATTGCTCTTCAATATAATTTCCCACAACAGCTGGCTTCAAGAAAAGACTCAAAATTGATCTTGACTGGTTAGAACATAAGTACAGAAGAAGTGCCATGCCGGATCGAACCAAGGGTCCATCTAGTCCACTGTTTGGTTTTCATGGTAGACAACCAGCTGCCCATGGGATCCCACAAGCAGAACCCTCATGTGCAACACCCTCCCACCCATGCTCCATGGCAACTAGTATATATAGTCATACTGCCTCTGATCTGGCGGTAGTGTAAAGCCATCCGAACTAGTAATCATTGGTCACCTTCTCCTTCAGGAAAGTATCTAAGGCCCTTCTAAAGTCATTTAAATTGGTGGCTGTCTCTACATCTTGTGGAAGTGGATTCCATCCTTTAACTATGCAGTATATAAAAGAGCACTTTCTTTTAGCTATCCTGAGCCGCAAAGGATGCCCCCAGGTTGTATGGAAAAGGGAGAAAATATCTCCTATCCAGTCTCCCAACCAAATCTCCCCTTACTTGCCTTTTGCCTAAGCTCAGCAACCTCGCAGCCATCAACTTTCCTCATAGAAAAGCTGCTCCTGGCCTTTAGTTGCCTTTTTCTGCACTTTTTCTAACTCTGCAATATCCTTTTTCGGTGCAGCGACCAGAATTATAGACAGGGTTCCAAGTGCAATCACACATAGAGTTATATAAGATCACTGTATCAGCAGTTTTACAGTCAATCCTTTCCTAACTGTGAAAGGAGCTGTGCCATAAAGGCTTTGGTGCTGTCTGCCGATTCCTCCTCTGCCTTCTGCTGCTGCTTCAGTCAGAACAGCCTGATCAGCCTGGCTGGCTGGCTGGCAGTGGCTTGACTTGGCAGGCTCTGTTCACCCTTCCGGTCCTGGCTGTGACCTCGGCCACCTGCTGACCACAGCATGCCCCATCACAGCTCTTGAAGAGGCAGAAGTGGGGACGGATGCCTGCCACACAGCCTGCCCTGGCAGGGTCCGTGGAAGGGGATGGGGTGCGTGGTTAGATGGCTGGGCCAGGAAGGGGGAAGGAGAAAGGGACAAATGGCCTTGGGAAACATGGGAGGCAAGAAGGAGAAGAGAGGGAAGGAAAGCAGGAAGGGGCCATGTAATGGGGACCACTCCACCTCAGAGTGCCAAGGCTGCCTCTTTTCCTACTGCAGGCTCTCAATTATGCAAATATTGAGTTTTTGCCTTTTTTACAACAGTCACACATTGCCCTAACATTTTCTTCAAGCTGTCCATCACACCCCAAGATCTTTGTCTTGTTTGGACACCACTAGCTCAAATCCTTTCAGCTAATACGTGAAGATTTGTTTGATTGTTTGCCCACTGTGCACACTATTTAACACTTGCTTTATTTTAGAGCAGTTCAACACATTACGAAATCTCTCCATGAAAGGCAGGGCTGTGCAGAAATCATCACACAAGTGGTCATATTTGACTTTACACGTGTACAGGGATTTTGCTGTGTCGAAGGCAGAAACTACGTACCAGGGTGGATTAAATGTGGCCCTTCACTATGGGCTACATTGGCTATGAGTTGTAGGCCAAGCTTTGCAGAAGGTCACAAGCTGCTCACCCTGATATATACAATTGTGGCATGTGAAGCTCTGCACAGGGCCAGGTTAACACTCAGACCAGAGTGACAGGTAGCACTCCAGATGTTGTCTGGTCATTGGCCATACAGACTAGGGATTATAAGAGCTGAAGTCTAACACCTTTAAAGGTCACCAGGTTAGGCAAGGTTGATTTAGAGAGACAGGAGTGCAAAACCTCAGAAAACTCACCCCTAAAGGAGGTAGCCCTTCTACTATATTCTTCTTCCCTGAAAGCAATTCAGACACAGGCCTTTTCTTTACAGAATCCTTCCGCACTCTGTACCTCGCAGACAGAGTTAAGTCAGATTCAGAAACAGACGGAGTCAACAAGCCATCACCTCTCCTCTGCACTTGAGTATCAACCATGATATGGGTAGGGCTCACATCCTTTACTCTCTTCTCAGTCTCCGTGATATGCAACTTGGGTTCATGTATATGTAAAGGTCCAGGAGATGAAGTGACAGAACTGTATGGATAGTTCAGGTAGGACTCTGGAGTGTAACACCCCATGATGGAAGGGAGCTGGTGTTTTCCATTGATGAATGAAGAGAGGGTTGGATCTGCCTTGTTTTCTTCTTCAAATTCCTCTTCTTCCTCACTGCTATGTATCAGCATTGTGGCATCTGAAAGAGACTTCTTATGCCCATAGTTCACATTTTCATCTTGCTCCTCATTCTCCTCTTGTTTTGTCCTCTCCAGAAAAACAGTGGGCTGTGACCCTCCAGGAGGGGCTGTGACCTTTGTAGGGGCCACATCTGCAGCAGATGCCGACATGGTCCTCTCTTTAATCCTCATGGCCTCAAAGCTGTGGGCCAGACCAGCTATTTCAATACTGTTTCTCTTCTGCAATTGAGCATGGCGAGCAGATGTTAAGGGCTCACTCACTTCCTGGAGAGAATGTGCGACAGGCAGACTGTCCTCCTGAAATGTCTGGACAGAGTGATGGACCCGCCGAGTGATGAGATCTGGATTGCTGTTGCTGATGTACAGGTGCCGGGAGAGGTCTGGGGTGCTGTTAGCTGGTCTTGGATAAGGATAAGGAGGAGGTGGCCGATAGACTTGAGTCTTCATGATGTTTGGTGCAGGATAATCTTGGGCCTGCAACTGAACATTGGTTAGTTCAGGCACACTCACTGCTCCAACCACCAGGCGCCGTTCAGCAGGATAGGGGTAAGGGGAATGGCTGTGGAAACTGTAATTCATGTTAAAGGGATAGTGGCCAGAGTGAGGGGAAGTGAAATTAGCGTGTTCTCGGATTTCCGGCTGGCTGTACACCATGGCATCAGGCCTACTGTAGGCATAGGAGTTGCCAATGTTGAGATTCCTCATGGAATGACTCTGCTTGTCTGACTGAATCATTCCCCGGTTAAGCTGCTTCATCACTGTTTCATAATCTGGGGTAGGCCGATAAGAAGGTGGTATAAGGGCACTGTGCCGGTGAGATGGGACGTAATCAGACCGGAGGATGTCGCTGCCAGTGATGCTCGGGTTGGAGGACATTGGCGACGGCTGCATGTAGTGCTGTGGGTTGTTCAAGGAGTTAGTGCTGTGAGCGCTGTAGACACTCCCATTGCGGATTCGACCATTATAGTCATGTGGGGCTCTATCCAAGCTGGTCTGAGAGTGGCAGTAATAGCCATTCTGATTATTCCCATAAAGATTATCTGAAATAAGTTGCATAAGTTAGGCATCCATTTAGAACCAGCCACTGAAATAGCAAAGAAATAAAGACATGTAATCACTGTAACCAAAGAATTAACCTTCTACAGCACTAATTTGCTTTTTCAGAATTACTGGAAGAAGCACATCTCTCTCTGGATCAGCAAATAAACCTCCGTCAACCTCAGTGTAAGAACTAAATATTGGAAGTGCTGGATACCTCATTTTAGCTCACTGTAGTGAACTGCTTCCACTTAGTCGAATGTATGGACATATGGAAACTAATGCCTTATGCAGGTATACAAGCAGTTCATGTGAGGGATAAAATGAGAAAGAGATATTGGCCCACATGGAAGACCCACCACAGAAGCCCTATTCACTCAGCCCCCAAATTTCCTGTGTTCAGGGAGAAGGTCTGAAGCAGACTTTTCTGCTTGCATATGCTTGAACCTGGCCAGAAGTTTCTGTGCTCTCAGGAACCCAACTTCACCAGAGAGTTTGCTTTCAAGCCTTAGCCCTCCTCTCTCTGCACACTGCACCCCCTCTAAAAATCACTCCCATGGTGCAATTAGGCTTTTAAAAATCATTTTGGAGGGAATGGGAGGCTTTTCTGAGCGTAATGCAGTACAAAGTGATCTGGAGATTACTCTTTATGGGGGGATGCCAACCCTTTCCTCTCCTGCTGCAAATTCCCCATGTACCACAAATAGCTACTCTTGGAGCCTTTTACAGATGAACAGCATGACATTTTTTTTCAGTGTATAATGATACAGATTATCATAAAGCTAATGGGGCTAGTTGCTCAAAAATGGCATTGGAATCAATGGGATGCCTTTTCCAAGACTATATGCTACATGGGCAGCATTATTTGTATGCAGGAGATTGAAAGATGTGTGTTGCTTTGACCCTTGCTGGTATGTGACTCCCAGTACATGGTATGTGGAGCTTAGGCATCAGGATGAAAAAAGTTTCCACTCTGTAGGTGGAAGTTTTCCAGTAGTGTTTTCTTCCTTGCATTCAATGTGTCACCTCTTTCTGTTGACAGAAGATTCCCAATTGCAACACACTTCAGTGAGAATCTCTAAGTCAGTGGCAGTGCATATACTGTAAAGAATGCCCTAGGTTTCTTCCTGAGTTTAAGCAAGTTTAAGGAAGATGTAGCAAATGACAGGAAAGACTGACCGGATATCCTAGGAGGCAGTAGTGGCCAGTACTCACTTAGGGTTTCAGTCTGAACTTTTTATGGAGCTATCCACAGTGCTGAACACATTTTGGTGGTAGGGTTCAGTACCCTGGGTAGTACTGCTAGAAAACCACTGTCAGGCAATACCAGACCAGAGGGAGAAATAGCTTGATCCGTGTAAACCAGTTTCCTATATGTTCCTACATGACCAGAACTCACAGAGTCCAGCTACTGACTATGCTGAGATCCTCAATAACCACCAGGCATATTGGGTCTTCAAATTCTTCTCTACCTCTTCCAACTGGAGCATGCATTTTCTCCTCCAGAAAGCACCAACAGGGCAAAGAACTTGAATTTAGCATATTTACCTTGTGAGGATGTATATGGTTCTGCATAGTGTCCATTATAGTGTAACTGAGGTGGTGGCGGTGGCATCATATAAGGCTGTGGTTTGGGTTGCTGAAAAGATATTGTAAAAAAAATTTAATTATTAGTTATTATTTGAGTTCTAGCCCACCCCTTTAGCCATACAGCTCCCTGGGCAGGTTACAACAATAAACATGGGCACGCACACCAGATGAAACAATAACCAGAAAACGTAAATGTTTAAAACCCAGGACATGAGTAATGCTTTTACAAAAAGGTTGCTGCCCACTCATTTTATTTCAGAATGGCTTTGAGCACAAGAACAAAACTCTAGTCCAACTGGGTGACTTGGGTGCAATTTCATGGATGCTGCGTGGTTGCTGTAGGACATTTTGCTACCATGCCAACATGCTCAGTGTTGTAGGCCTCGTTTTCTGTCTAAACATACAAGATTGCCCTCTTAACTAAAGTTAATGGCATTCCTTCAGGCTTGAGGTGGGAGAGTGGGCGGCTATTCCGTGCTGATCTCACCTCCTGTGCTATAAGAAAAATGCTGAATCAGGGTGTCTGTATTTTGACAGACACAAGCAATCAACTCTTGGTCATCCGAGATACATCTCTTGAGGTTAATAGGGCACAGACTGCAACACCTGCCAATCCCTATTAGCAAAATCTGCATTAAGCCAATAAGCATACGGCACCCCATTCAGGCTATTACTAAGGAATTACTTGCTCAGTTGTGCTAAACCTAGAATAGCTAACAGAATCAGTGCCGTGTAAAAGAAGTCACTTCGTACTTACCAAAAGAAGACCCTAATAAAGGCCTGCCTGGTGGCTGAATCATAGTTATGTGTGTTTGGAGGAAGTGGGTGTAGACTACTTCCTTCCTGGGAATAGCCTAACACCTAAACCTTATAAAAGGGATTAGCCCTGTGGAAGGAATGGGGACTGAGCAGAGCGAAGCGGACAGATGACGCTGAGAGCTTTGTATTCTTGCTGGTATCACATTTCTCTTATGCGCTGATTTTAAACCAGCAGGCCATCTGCCACATTCAGTGTCCCACCAATCTCATATGTAATACTTGAAGGAATTATAAGAAGTCTTTCAAAAATCTGCAGCTCTAACTAACCTCTTATTAACCACCTCATCTATACAAATATAGTGAAACGATGAGACTTGGAAGCTACCATCATTGTCTGCTAATGGTCTTGTCCACTTAAGACCTTCAGTATTTCTTCCTGAATGCTTCTTCCCTATGATCAAATGCAATTCTACTATCTGAATCCAAGTTCTACAAGCCAGCTATTGCAGCTTGCTTTAAAGAAAAGACACAGATTCAAAGCCTTGCTCCTTAAACTTAGGAATGTATGTTCAGAAAACATATACATGTGCTCTGTTTGAAGGCCAAAACATGATGCAAGCACAAGTCCAACTAAATATGTTTATTAACTGGCAGACATATGCTTACAAGCAATTTGCACGACTTTCTAAGTTTGTTTTTGCACAGACCACCCCTGAAGACTGAGTCAGCCTCAGCTTGGTGTATTGCAGAAAGTTGCACAAATTAAGAAACCTGCATGCATTTTAGATTCAATCACCTCTCAATGTGCCCAATTTTCTATTTGTGCAGAGTGAGCTGCCATTACGAGCAGGAACTGAACATGAGACAAAAGGTGAGACTATGTTCAGAGGATTCTAGTCATCTTGAACATTACTTGTCCACTCATCCCTGCATAAAATGTAGTATGTAGCTTTGGGTAATTCCTTCTTTCTACAAATCTCCTGTTGTAAAATAGGAATATTTGAAAATAAGGGTCCAATCCTGTGCTTATCTAATCAGAAAAATGGCCCAAAACGCCCAGCATGCCCCAGCCTGCAAAATGGCATGCTGGGAGTTACAGGTTTTTTTCACTTTTTGTCTAAAGATGCCTAGGTTTGTGAACATCTTATGAATAAAAGAGGAGGTCTGCTGGGTCAGGGCAGAGGCAAGCAACCTGTTTCCACAACAGCCAACCAGCTGCTTTTGGGAAGTTCACAAGCTGGACATGTGTGCAATGGTATGCTGCTACCGGGATTCTATTTAAAAATCATTAATTGCTTTAGCATTTGAAAAGTTCTATTATAAACGTATGCACCTACTAAATGGTATGGCACCACATCAAGGGTGTGTAATATGCTTATTTTTGTAACACTGAGTATTACTGCAAAATGTAGCATTCTTGGGGTGCAGAATTCACTGCAGCCCAGGTGTCCACAGTAACTGCTCTCAACCTGCTGTGTTTATTTATCTGAAAGTTTGGCTAACTTTTCACTCTTCAAAGAAAGGGTGGACTGTCTGCCCTGGAAAAAGCTAAGGATGGTTAAAAGACCAAATGTTATATCTCAATTAATGGAAGCAAGTGAAATCTCTCTGTATTAAGTTGAAATTCAAACTGAGTTGCAGTCCAACTAGAAACACAAATCATTGATATGTTTCTATTTATTTTTCTGTTTACTTCTATTTATTTATTCATCAAGTCCCAAGCTGTTTGTATGTTAAGAGAGAACACAATGAAAATCACTAGGAAATTTCCTAAGTAAACAACCCCTCCTGCTACAAACAGTAGATTGTGCCCCACATGACCAATGTATAGAACTACATATTTAATTTGCAGTTCTTCCAATATTTTCTTGGGAAAAGGTGGATTGACTATCCTAGAAAAAGCTAGTAATTGTTAGAAGACCAGTCATTATCAATTAATGGAAGCAAATGAAATCTATCTGTATCAAACTGTAAGGAGATGTTCATACTGAGCTGAAGTAGAAAAGTGTAACAATCTGAATTCCTATTTACAGTCCCCCCCTTTCTGATTCCACCAAGAATTATCTTTTATCAACTTTTCTTCTCCAAGGAGCCATCTTGCTCAGATTAATAAATAAGTTAATTAATAAATAAGTTAATGTAAAAATCTGAGGAAGAAGGAAAACCTCATGATCAGAAACCTTACCAGAGACATCCTGGAGGATGAACGCCTCCTAACTGGATTCACTGTCACCGTCTGAGCTTGCCTACGAAGCAAAGTTACATGATAAAAATACCAATTTTGCAATAATGACACTGGCACTTCAATCCTACGCATATTTACTCAGAAATAAGTCTGACTGTATGCAATAAGACTTATTCCCAGGTAAGTGTGTTTTGGACTGCAGCTTTAGGAATGAAATTTAGTGCCCCAAATGCATAAAGTGGCTATTACTCCAAATGCCCACTTGCTACCCTCATGCATAATCCTGAGAAGCACGCACAAAACAAAACAAATTGAAAAAGTCCATGGCTTTTAACATTCCTTCTCTATGAGTACAGCAGAATATGGTACAGCAGAATGTTGCATAAACACACATCTTGCATATATTGCACTTGCATCAGGAGTACAGAGCCATTTGCATAACCGATAAACTCCAAAGTGTTCCTCTGCCGCCATTTGCAATGCTCCATATGTGCTCCTTCCAACCCTGCAATGGGTTGCCTAGAATGTACCCAAAGGCAAATTGATACGAAATGTAAGTTGCATGAAAAGTACCAGTCCATAGGGGGTTCCCCTAGCCTAGATTCTCATCATCATCTTCATCATTGTTACATTGCATTTCCATACCACCCCTAGCCAAAGCTCTCTAGGAGGTTCACAAAATTTAAGTCACCCATCTAGATTTCAACCAGGCCTGACCCTGCTTAGCTTCCAAGATTAGGCATGATCAGGTCTCAAACCAGTGCTCTGGTGCTTTGATCCAGAAAGCAACTGTCCAGATGAGCAAACACTGCATGCAAAAGGAATGGATTACATACAGTTTAGAGATCTGTCAAAGATGGCTGTCCGCATAGAACCTCCCACAAGCTGAGGCTATCCTAGATTTATTTACTTTTGTTTGTTTGTTTGTTCATATGCAGTCCAATAATCAAAGCCCTCTAGGTGGTTTATAACATTTGGATAATCTGAAAAACATTATCCCTTCATGAATAATGTAGTGTTTGCCTAATCTTAGGGGTCATGCCACTTTCAGAAACACTCTGGCATGTCTGGTATGTTCAGTTTGTGACATCACAAGCCAGTGCCAGTCTTAGATACACTTGTCCTGAAACAAAATGCCAAAGTGACTTGCCCCAACCCACCCTACATTGCTCAGGTATTTAATGCAGCCTTTCCCACCCTGGGCCCTCGAAATGTTTCAGGCTACAACTCTCATAATTTCAATCCAGGTCCCCGTGCTAGCTGGGGAATACTGGAGATGCAGTCCGATTTGTCTGGACGGCACAAGACTCTTGAAGGCGGGTTTAAGAAGCACACAAAAGGAGACACAGCAATGTAATGCCTACGATGTAGTTGCATTGCATCGTATCACCTTACATTAAGGCCAGCCCTGCCACAAGCAAACATTGCAGCCATACAAATACCTGACATGCAAAGAATGCTGAAGGAAAGAAAGAGAATGTATTCTGGCTCACCCTTTGGGCAGAGAAGGACGAGAAAGGATTGGAAAGCGTGGAAAGGAAAGAATGAGGAAAGATTTCTGAGAGCCTTCCTCAGGCGGTGAGTCTGGGGAGTCTCTAAAGACAAGGTACATGCAGACAAAATGTAGGCAATGAAATAGCACATTTAATAGAAAGGATGTTGGTTATCAACAGGAGACATTTTCAATAGAGCTTCAAGTGGGCTTTTGAAGGGTGTCCTTTCCATTAATGCCATGATCACCCAGCCCTTCCAACAGCACAGAATGAAAAGATAAATCTGTCAACTCTAGAAGAAGCATTCTGTTAGTCTGTAACAGGGACAGAACACACATGGTCTCTGGCGTAGCTTTTCTTTTCAGCCAGTGGACACAAGTTAAGAGCCAATGATTCCCTGATGCCATTTTACAAATATAAGTTCCTAGTCCTCAAAGCTAGAGAAAACAATGCTAACTGCATATGGTGAAGAAACCAAAAGACAGGCAAAACCATGCAAACATTCATCATGTTCCCTGCATGTGCGTGCGCGCACACACACACACACACACACCCCTCATGAATTCAGAGTCCCAACTAAAGCTGTTTTGTATGGCCATGGAGGTTTTTTGAGAAGTCAGGTCAATATTTTTGATGTTTAACACCAATTATACCAGATTATCATAAAGCAATAAATTTGTCACATATGTCATATGAAATTTAGGACCATTCTGTGTGAACAATTCACTACAAAATTATACGAAAATCGGCACAGGAGTTTGCATGTAACTACAGGCTTTATTCTGTTCTCCAGGATGCTTTAACAAAATGGCATGTTTGTTTAAATTAGGGAGGGTATGTAGGACAGAGAGGAACCAATTTTGGTACATTAATAACCACAAGCACTAAAGAGAAACCATACTATAGCAAGAATGGCTTCCTATAACACTGGGCCTCTGAGCCATGTAATAGCACCACTTGCTTTCCCTGCCATCCCTATGATATAGAGATTATGTATTTTCTCAAAACTTCATGCAGTTTTCTCATCTGCACCACTCCAACAACTCAGAAGGAATTCCATCACAAAGGACCTCAAGGGAACAGGCTCATGGCAATGTCTATGGTAATAGCTGGATCTTTTGCACTATACTTGTGAGAACAGGACCAAACTACTAGCATCAGCCAGTTGGTAACACATGCCACTTTGTTCTCTGGGAACTGGTGCGACACAAAATCCAACTCAGTATTGGATTCTGTTGTCTTAAAGCAGAACCATCAAGCAAAAAATGAAAGAGAGGGAGGGAGGGAGGGAGAGACACCTATAAACTATATACTCAAGAACAAATGAAATCACAATGTGACAAATATTAGCAGAGCAGTAAAAAGTACAGGTAGTAAAGATATAAACACGGAACTAAAACAGTCCCATTCTTAGTTCCTAGGCATTAAATACTGTATTTTCTTGAAAAACCCATCGAACTCAGGTTTTGATGGACCTGCAGCAGAAATATTCTAAGGTTCTAGAGTTGACAGCACTAGGTCAATGTAGTAATTGCAATTAGGCCATGATGCAATGGCATCTCTACTTTGCCTGCTTTTGGGGGGGGGGTGCTCAAGTGATTTTTCAGAGTCCCAGCATGAAGGTACTCTGATGGCTGAATCTTCACCCTGCCCCCTTGCTGCCAGTGCAGAAAGAGCCACACTGGCTGCCCCTCCAAGATCAGAAATGTGTCCCAGAGAAGAGGAGGAAGGGGTGTGCTGGGGGGCAGAGGGCACAAGGTGTGGCAGCAATGGCTGCTGACATGCCTCACTCCTATCCTTGGATGCTCTGCCACAAGGACAAAAGTACTGCATGCTTAGCTATTTACTTGCCATATGGACCGAGTGGCTACCTGTTTAAGTTTGCTAATGTGGAAGCAACAACTGTTATGATCAGGGATTTCATTTCTGAGTGCCCCTGCCACCAGTTGCTGCTGAAGTACTGTGAAAGCCCCCTCCACACACAATGCGTGGGTTCACAATGACACAACAAGCCATAGTGGGTTTTTTATGGCCTGTCTGTCATGCTGTCCAAACACAGCTGTGGTATTTCAACATGGCGTTTAGGAACCATAGGAGAAAAATGTTTTGCTCTATAGTGTCTATGTAACACACCGCTTTCTGGTGATATCCAGACCTGGCACTGAGGTTTCCATGGTCCTGATATTCATCTACCAGAGTCCCTGCAAAAAGCAGCCACTCTAGGAGCCACTCCAGCCATCCAGTCTCTACTTCCCATCTCCACCTAGTAGAGATGTGTTGCTGCTTGCCTTGCTCCTACAGGCCCTGCTCTGTTCCCATCCCCCTCCATCTTCCCTGTTGTTATCCAGATGCCCACCTGCCATTTTCAAGCTACAGAGATCCATGCAGCACCAGTGGCCTTGGAGCTGGCCAGTCTCTGCACTGCTATCTGCTTGTTGCAGTTTTCACAGATGTCAATCTGAGTTGTGTCTTTTATTTTCATTCCAACATATTTGGATACTCAAATACATGTTGGGGGTGGGGGAATTAATGTATGAGTGCAGCTTCTGGGCAGCACAGCAATATCAATAAATATTCCTGAGGTAATAACTGATCATTTCTTTAAGAAGAAATATTCTAAAGAAAACAATAACCTTTCTTGTGCTGCTGAAATAAAGATATCCTTTGCTATGGAACCATCTTTCTTATTGTCTTGCAAATGGGAAGTTTTGTACAGGTTGGAATAAAGACTGCAGTGCATTTCGGTGGGGATTGTGGGGAATGTTCCAATAACAGTTTGGAATAAGATTGAGCAGAGGCTTTGCCTTGCATGTGTGTAGGAAAACATTCTCTATTTTTTGGCAAGGAAAGTAAAAGGAGAACCCAAAAGATTGGGAGGACACCTACGTGGAAAAAAAAATTAGAGGGACTGCCAAGTAATATTGGCAGTGGAAGAGGGAGGAATGAAGTTGGTGAAGAAGTTCAAAACAGGGACTAGCACAGAGGAGTGAAGGAAAGGTAAGAGGCAGTGTGGTGTGGTGGTTATAGCTTTAGACTAAGGATCTGGGAGATCTGGGCTCTAATTCTTAGCTGGCCATGAAGCTCACTCTTGCATTTGGGCCAGTGACTCATAGAATCATAGAACAGTAGAGCTGGAAGGGTCCATGAAGGCCACTGGGTCCAACCCCTGCTGATGCAGGTCCCCAGCTTACACCCTCCCACTCGGATGGCTGTCCAGTTTCTTCTTGAATGTCTCTAGTGTGGGAGAGCCCATGACCTCTCTAGGCAACTGGTTCCAACTGGTATTGCTCTGATAGTGAGGCAACTTTTCCTGATATCGAGCCTGACTCAGGGTTGTCGCTACTTGAATTGATTATTCTGTGTCCTCCACTCATGCTCAACCTAACCTATCTGACAGGGTTGTTTTGAGAGAATAAGAAACGAAGTGGAGGAAAAGTATGCACGCCACCTCGGGTTCCTCACAAAAGGAAAAAAAGTGGGATCAAAATGCAATGTGATATTAAAAATGCAGCATTAGTGAGACAAGAAAGGACTAAGAGAGGGGTAACGGGATACCAGGGCATTTTTGGTGCCTGAAACCAGCTGAAAGAAGGAAAAGAGAGAGGTGGATGTAAGCCAGCACAGATGGATTCTGGATACTGCCTCTTGGAATTCCTGAAGCTTTCTGGACCAAAAGCAACAATGGGGTGGGGGGGGGGAGGTATATAGGATAATGGAAAGCAAAGCGCACTGGAGAAGGGTGCCATGAAGGAGGCATCAGGTAGGTTGACAAAAAGATGTCAATGCCTGATCCTTATGCTGGAGGGACAGGGGAGGAAAAGATGATTCATCACCTTGTCATGCATGAAGCAAGCAGACACTGGCTACAGGCATGGTCAGGGGGATGGTGGGCAAACCCTGCCTATACATGCATTTTCTGTGGGAATAAGTACGTGGGGGAGGGGGACTAATTGATGTGCTTGCAATTATTGCATTAGGTCAAGCCTTGATAGATCATCAGTGAAGGAAAGTTTGGGGGGCATAGGAGGGAGTGTAGACAAAGATACACAGCTGGAAATGGTGATTTCTACAGGAAGATTCCTTCATGCAAAGACAGCTCTGGCTGAGGGATGTGGGGAAAAAGAAAAGGAAGGGGAGGGCACAGACCATACCCAGGGTATAGTGTAGATCAGGGGTCAGCAACCCACGGCTCTGGAGCGGCACGTGGCTCTTGAATCCCCCTGCTCTGGCTCCGTCCCTCAAAAGTATGCTGAGGCGGGCTGATCTGCCGAGGCCCGAGGCAAGGCACCCAGTGACAAAATACCAATAGGTGATAATGAGGCATCCACTCAGGAAGCGCTAGCTGGTTAAGTAAATCTAAGTAAATCGCTATATTTCTCTGCTAGTGTGCAGGGAAAGAGTGGAACAAGCTTCCTGCAGGCTCTCATGTTACTCAAACCCTGCTGAAAAGATTCTCTTTGTCCCAATGTAATCTCCTTCCTCTGAATGATAAAAGCTGCACTTGGGACCTGTCACAATTCACATCACTTGACTGTTTATCTGCTAATCAGTCACTAAACACACCTGTATCTGTGACTTGCCCTGGTAGGCCAATCATGGAAAAATTGAAGAAAAGTTTCTGAAGAAAACCAAATGTTTAATGATACGCAGGTAGATTCATTTGCTTTTACAGCTGACGAACTTAAGGGGTTTGCTGTTTAATGCATGCAGCCCTTTAGCACTGACTTTGACTCTTAAGAAAGCTGTTCTCCTATTCAAAATATATGAAAGGAGTCCTACTAGTTTATAATGTAAGATTAAAAGTAACAGTTTTTAGTGACTGAACAAGAGCTGCAGCTAACTCATAATGAAGATACACCTAGCATTAAGGTAAAAACCGATATATGTAGTGTTATCTTCATTTTAGATGTCAAAAGGGTTTTGTGGCTCCCGGTGTTTTCTTTTGTGTGGGAAACGGGTCCAAATGGCTCTTTGAGTGTTAAAGGTTGCCGACCCCTGGTGTAGACCAATAAGGAAGAGGCAGGTAACACAGACAGGGATCAATGTAGCTTGAGATTGAATTACAGGTACATTGGCCAACAGGACATGCACCAACTGTGGGGGATTTGAACAGGGCTTAAGAAACCATGATAATATAGATCATCTACTTGATCATCTGTCAGGTAGATAATTGTTTTTAAAAAACAATGAACCATGGTAACCATACAAGGTTGCTTGTCGTGACATGCGGACCTACTGAAAAAAGGGTTCATGCAAGTAGATACCTGTCAAAAAAGGAAAAAAATGGGCAACAGCAAGGTACAGTTAGCCCTTAAAATGAATCTCTGAACTTCCCAGGTCCTCTCTGATGCACAGAGCGTACTAACACATCTTGCTCTGAAGATAGAAAAGATACTGCAAACAAAAGCGAGCATCTAGAGTAGAAGGCGGATATCCAGCTGTTCTTGCCAGCAGGACCAGTAAACACAACTGCTAGGAGTTGAAACTAAAATGTATATTCTGCCCAGTCCATATCTAGGGCAATCTTCCCCAACCAGGTGCCCTCCAAAAGTTTTGGGCAGCTCACAACATTCCTGACCATTGGCCATGCCAGCTGGCTGTGCTGACAAAAGCTGGAGTGCAAAACTTCAGAGGGTACCAGAAAGTTTGGGCATACTTCACGCTGGTGTGTGCTTTGTTTTGTTACTGGAACCCTGAAGGGCACCTATCAGAGCCAGGTGCAAAAACGAGGCTGACTGGGTGAAGCCAGGTGCAATAGCTGAACTGATGAAGCCAGATGTAAAGGGCTGGAACCAATTACTGAGTGCATCTTCTTAATCATTGCCTGGGATGCCTTACCATTTACGTATATTTGACACTGCAATCCAGTTGTTGTTGTTGTTATTAAAAACATGTGTATGCTGTCCTTCACTATCACATCTCAGGACAGCTTACATGATTAAAAGCAATCTCATAAAACAATCAATGGAACAATACAATAAAATTATCAAACCCAGAAACAAATACATCCAATTAAAACCAAATATAATAAAGCAACTGTAAACAGTAAAATACTAATTTTTAGAATAACGATTAAAAAAAGGTTTTTACCTGGCACCAAAAAGAGTATAGGTTCAGCGCCAGGCATATGGGGAGCATATTCCATAATCTGTGTGCCACTGCAGAGAAGGCCCTGTTCCGAGTAGATGTCCTTTCTAGCTTCTTTAAGGGGGATTCTCAGAGCAGGGCCTCTCCCGCTGATCTTAGGGGGTGTATACAGAAGGAGAGGTTCCTTCAGGTATCCTGGGCCCTGTCAAATGCATGAGCCAAAAACCCATGCTAAGCTACCTCTGCATATCCCTAATCTACAACAATACAGTTCCAGGAGGCCCCTTCCCTATAGAAGGTTGACTGATTATTTCTGCACCCGCTTCAGCCTCTGAATAGTCATTAAGGGCATGCCCAGATAAGAATGTACTTTATCCAACATAGTCTATAGTTGGTTCCACTGCCTCAAGCACAAGGCCTGAAGATACAGAATTGCTTTCCACTCCAGAATAGAGTGCTTGTAGTTGGCATGTGAACTACAGACAGTGTGGCTCTGACTGTGCGAAAGTACAGGCTCTGCCAAGATGAAAACAAATTCAGACTCAAATGCACGACTGCAATGATACCATTCTTTCATCAATTCAGACCAAATCTTCAGAAAGTTAAATACTGGGAACCACAGAGACTATTATCTTCAATAGCCACATGAGACAGTGTCACTAGACTGGATCCAAAGATGATTTTCTGTTAGTTAATAATATTTGTGTCCCAAATTAAAAATGTCCAGCTTAGTGGAAATTATATGAGAAAAGTGATCCCAAGAAGTTTCTTCATTTGCACAAGCTCATTCTCAAGGCCTTTTAATGCCCCATTAAAATGTATACACAACAGTCTGTATTTCCTTTATTTGCTTTTTCTTACATTGTAATGCAAGGGTACATAACACTGTGATTTCCCAATGTTTTGGACTACATCTATCATGATCTCTGACCATTGGCTATATTGGTTGGATATCATGGGAATTATAGTCCAAAACATCTGGAAGGCACCACTTCACCTGCCCTTGCAAAATACAACCCCTTATACACTGTGGCATTTCACTGACAGAATAAATCCACTGTCTTGTGTACAATAACTTCAGAAAGTACTATACATTTTCTCCTATCACTCATGGGTTTGCGAATCAAGCCATTTATTTTCTGATTCAGCATGAAAAGAAAACTTTTACAGCCTCAAGCTTCTCTTTGAACACTGAAAAGTTTTGTAAATAAATAAGTGCAAGCCACAGGACTATATAATCAAGAAGATCAAGAATTAATTATCTGGGTAGTAAGTTATATAATACAAGTAGCATATTAGATCATACATTTAATTTGGAGAAAGAATAAAGTGTTGTTGTACTTACAGGCTACATTTATTTAGTCTATAAAATTTGTGTCTGGCAACACACATCCTCCACACATATTTTGCTGTCTCCATATCTTCCTGTCAAACAAAAGAGAGATGAGCAAGACGAAATGGGTGGTTGGACTGATGTCTGGATAAGTTTAATTCACTTTCCTACTACAGGGGGTCCATAGGACCAAATTACTCGCCCAGTTTGGCTGATTTTATTGCTGTGTAAAGGTTGCAGGCAGAAGAAAGGAGTGGAGTCATGCCCATTCCACCCACTGGCCATGACTACCCTGCTTCTGGGCACAATCTTTGCCTAGATCCAGCACATACAAAATCCAGTGCAATAAGCCCCAACTGTACAGTCAATTCATAGTCTGCATGCAGGATATTGACAGGGCATCTCGAGCACACCCAGATATGCAAATATTCACGTCTCTCATCATTAAATAGTCTCAGCTGGGCCCCTTTATGGTGAACATAACATATTCAGATCAAGGTACAAAAATTACCACCTCCACCGACAGATGATGAATGAACTACATTAATGTGTTGAATGTTTAACCAAGCCTTCCTCCATGGAGTCTGGGCAAACAGACATGGCTGAACCACGTTTTATCCTTACAACAACCCTGTGAGATAGATGAGGCTGAAAGAGAGAGCATTTGACCTGAGGGGAACCACTGAGCTCCATCGATAAATGGGGATTTAGACCTTCATCCAGTACGTTAGCCATTAGACCATATGGCTGCCCACACATTGTATAATATACCAATGGTGGTCAAGTACATTTTGGCAAGTATGTTGTATGTCACATTCAAACCAGGAGATAGTGTCTCCCCTCACTGCACAACATAGTACCAATAAGGCCATATTGCTCCTTTAAATGGCTTTCCCTTTAGCCCACAGGGCCAGGAAGGAGGCAGGAGTAGAGCATTCACGGGCTACATGGGATTTGTCATTCAAAATAATGTTAGGTTATCTTTAGGGATAAGCCTATACAAGGTGGCTTCCATCAAAATACAGAATCAGAGTATATAATAATAAATTAAAACCATCATAAAACATTGTCAAGCTATTATGGGTTTTAATGATGTAAGCTGCCCAGAGAGCCTATGGCTAGTGGGGTGGAACAGAAATTGATTAAATAAATAACAATAATAAAAACAGCATAGAGGACTGCAGTATGGATCAATCACGTAATGTAATGCCAGCAAAACAGCAGTAGCACTAAATAGCCAAAACCAGTGTCAAGCCATTGCCAGACTCACAGGTCTGTCTGCAAACTGCTGCTGTGCATCAAGATGTTTATTCATGTTTCACACCATAGGATTATCATGTCCTGCTTGTATTCCCATGCCAGAAACAAAACCCCACATATAGCCATCCAAACCCACTAGCAGAAATCAAGTCTCCAAGTACAAAGGTTTCATAAGAACTGGCCTCGTGTGCCTTTCCCCAACCTGGTATCTTCCAGATGTGTTGCACTGCTACTTCCCCTAATGCTAAAACGTGCTGGTTGGGAATAGGGGTGTGTGGCCCAAGACAGTTGGAAGGAGGTGGGTTAATGAGGGCTGGTCTGGGTTTAATCCAGACAGAGAAAGAGTTAAGTGCATTTCTGTTCCACCCAGAATTAAAGTTATTGCACTTCAAGATGAGAAGGTGGAGAATAAACTCCAAGAACATATAAATAAGATGTGCTAACTGCTGCTCATCCAATTTGACGCTAAATTAAAAAAAAACAAAAGTAATGAAAGTTCACCTTCAAGATATAAACACACACAAAGCAAATGCCTGGTTTCTTCATTGTATCACAATTGCTTTAAAATGAATAGAAATAAAAGCTCACTCACTTACAGTTTGGAACTGGATGGTCTCTTCCTTACTTGCCAGCTCTAATGCAAAAAAGGATTTGTTGTGGGACATGTTAGCAATGTCATGCCACCTACGCAGAGGAGTGGGAAAGAAGAGTGGGAGACTTTCAGACTCTCAAGACTTTACAAATCAATGCAGGCACACAAGAGGAAATATGGGCTTGCTGAGTTTTTTATTACAGATTTGCAGACATTCTTAAAAGTTTTGCATGCTGCAGGGTTCTAAGATTTAACTACTTTTTACACAATCTTCAGTGTTCATACAAGAGTTGAACTAACCACATAGACACTTGAGATTAAGGACAAATACTTTTAAGAATAATTTTCTGATAAAGGTAATGAATATGCTGACAGAACAGTTCTAGATTCAACCATATGACAGCAGCCTCTCAATTTGGTATGGAAGGGTACACTGCCTCTGGTTTATACTTTATTCTTTGCAGCTTCAACATGAGAAAGTAGTTCTTGCTTTTTGGCATAAATGCCTTCAGATTCTTGGGAGGACATGCAAGAAAACATCTGTTTTACAATGCCACTGAATTTGGGAAATAAACTCACCTAAAGATGACAGGAGGCCGCCCATTTTTGTGCTTCACAAAGATTCCATCGAGACAAGCTCCAATGAATATGTCACTTCCTTGGCTGTCCTGAATAATTGCCAGATATAATGAAAACACTTGAGCAGGGGTCCTCAAACTTTTTCAGCAAGGGGCCAGTTGAAAGGTGCTGGTGCTAGCCGTGGGCCGGAAGGGTGGCGCTGGCACTGCATGCAGGCCGGTGAGGGGGCGGGGGCGGTGCGTTCGGGCGCGTGCTCTGAGGCGGGGGTAGGGTGCGTGGCGAGGCGAGGCGAGGCAAGGCGTGGGTGGGCAGGCAGGCGCATGCGGCGAGGGGAGGGGAGGCAGGCGCACGAGGCTGCGGCTTGCTCGCTTGGAGATCGTCTTCTCTGCTGCCTCCCTGTGCGCGGGGCGAGGTGGGCAGCAGTGGCCGCGCACATGGGTGCGGGCGTGGTGGGTCCAAATGGGCATGGCAAGCTGAATAAATGGGCATGGCGGGCTGGATCTGGCCCCCGGGCCTTAGCTTGAGGACCCATGCACTTAAGATTGTTCTCCCATCAGGACAATTCAACAGTTGCAAGATGTATCTTTCAACAACATTACCAAGGTTAAATATTGATAGATTAGTTTAGTTGTTGTTTCTCAAAGTATTTCTACACAGAAAGTAGTCAAGGTGGCCACAACTAATAAGAAAATGTAGAATAAATGCAGTATATTATAAAAGAAAGTTTGTCTACTTTATTTCCAAACACAGAATCTTGAATGTTTTGAAGTAAGATGCACAGTTCCGGTTTTAGGTTTTAGTATTTTGTTGAATGTTTCAACAAATCATTCAGGTGTCTCAGAGCTATAATATAGTCTAAATGTTTTAGCCCTGAGTCCATTTGACAAGTAATCCTATGCCACAAGATTGCTATTTATTTAACAGCTATACTGTCTAATAGCCAAATCTGGATGGTTTACAATAACATATGTTAATATATCTTTTAGTATATCTTTTTAGTGTATCGTTTAAAATAAAAGAGTAATTGTGATCATAGGTGTGTCACTCTGAAGCCATGGCACAAATAATCAGCAAATGTGATGAAGCTTCAGCTCACCTTTGCAGGATAGCTCTCTTCACCATAACCTTCCATTCTCTCAACTTCTTGCATATATAACATCTCTGCATCAGGTGGTGTGAGGCCCCTTTGGAAACAAAAGTTAATTCAATTTACTAACTAGTTTCTCAGGGCAGATTAAGGTTAATATCAAGAGTCCTCTTTTTAAATGTTCCCAAACATGAACACAGACATTCAGAGCAGGACTGCCCATCATGCTAAGCCATTTTGAGAATAAGCAGCAGTGAGCAAGTTGTTAACTGAATAACAGATTTATTTCCCCACCCATTCTTGGCACATATTCCAGGGTTCTTCATGGGAATATTCCCATCCCATGATTCCTTGGTTATTTGCTCTGTTGGCATTCTCTTCAATATTGGTCCACTGAGTGTCCTGGGCATGTCTCACCTTTACCAGCTCTTGGTTCACTTTGCCAGATATGGGTGAAGAGTAATAGGTAACATCTCTCAAATATGTAAACTAGGGGTGTGCTTATACATTGGCTAAAGGAATGGGGAAACAGTCAGAAAAGCAGGAAATAAGCTGGAAGAGACCAAAATAAATACTTCTGAGTGTGTGCTGATCAATATTTAAAGCCCTCAATAAGTAAATGACTTCCTGCTGCTTATACCCGTGGCCCTCAGTGATGCATCTGATGTTGCAGAAAGGTGAGTCTACACTTTAAATGAGCAGCTCTGCTGCCCTGGGCATTAGGGGCATTCATGCTTCCAGAAATGAAACTAAAGTATCCCCACCACACCCTTCTCTCTAGTTAAATGCCTAGCCTGACCACACAATGTTTTTTGCAAATTGTGGACTGAGACTTTGAAAGTACATCAAGATAATATTTTCATTATGAGCATTATTTTGATCTCCTCCTATAATACAGTCTTCAAATTTGTTGACTTGGATTCTGATTCAGAAGTGGGCGAAGAGGCAGGGTTGGAATTTGCATCTGAAATGCCAAGGCTGATGGACCCAGAGATAAGTCACTGAGAACTAGGCAATTTTAAGTTCAAGGGGAAAGTCTGGGGAACACACTGAGAAGGGTGGGACAGACTTAACATCATGAATCCAATTATTATGTCAGATTAAGAGGGTGGAATACTTCAGAAGCATCACACACATTCCAGGCAATTGGCCCAAAAGCAGCATGCTCCACCTTGAAGGAGGAGTCAGTTCTTTTTGGTTTGGAAGGAAGGAGAGATAGTCAGTTTAGACTCAGTTTCATATCATTAAGCTACATTTCCTTAATGGCCACTATTCTAATTGTGCTTTTGTTACTGACTTATATAATACTCTTCTTTTGTATAAAGCCAGCCTAGCCTGCCAGCTTTAATATAATGCTTTAGTTAGAAAGCCTTCTGTCCTGATTTGCTTGGACAGAAGGGAAGTAGACAAGCTCATAATGTTTTGCTACAAGAAGGATGTGATGGGAACAGGGCAGCAAAGATTATAGGAAAGGGAAGGAGTAGATACATGGTGAGTTAGTGTGGAGGAGCAAGTAAACTAAAGAACACCTGCACCTTTTCCTGGGTGTTATTCCTTCTCCATGCCTGTCTGTTTGGAAGAACATGGTTGGCACTGAGCGCTCCACAAATGTCTTTGAACTGGTTGTTCTGCTTCCTCCCACTCAGGAAATGGTGACAGTGATTGTTAAGTTGTGGTCTGACAAACAGATTCCCTATAGACCACACAGGGAAGACTGGTTGACAAGCCAGATACTGAGGTGGAAGCAGGCCAGGGAGTTTGGGCACTGAATGAGCACAGAAAAATGCTATTGCAGAGGGGGAGGGGGAGGGGAGGGGGAGAGAAGCTGCTGTGGTGAACTATAAGGACATGGCTTGTACTTGTTGGTCTTTGCAATGCTTCTGCCAACATTCAAATGGCATCCATCTGCCTGTCAATGGCAGCAGTTTGTTCCCTCATCAACAGCTCAGGGATAACATCTAGGGCTAACCTCTAACATCCCATGACTTCAGGCACCATTTTCACCTGATGAGTAGATGCTGTTACCAATAGTCCTGGTTAACCAGATGGAGACTAGAAACATAGAAACAGAGCGAGTCAGAAGGGGCCTCCCGGGCCATCTACTCTGACCTCCGGCACCAGCCGGCTCCGCTCACGACATGCCCACCATGTGGACGTCCAGCCTATCCTTGAACACCCACACCGATGGGGCCTCAACAACCTCTCGTGGAAGCCCATTCCACACCCTTGAGAACCTAACTGTCAGGAGATGCTTCCTGGCATCCAAATGGAACCTTGGCTCCCTGAGCTTTGCTCCATTGGAGCACGTCCTGCCTTCCTCTGCAGGGGAGAACAGGTCTCTACCCATCTCCATGTGACATCCCCTCACATACCTGTATGTCGCCAACATATCCCCTCTGAGTCTCCTCTTCTCCAGGCTGAAGAGACCCAATTCCCTCAGTCTCACCTCATATGACATCCCCTACAAACTGGCCACCAACCTTGTGGCCCTACGCTGTATTGACTCCAACCTGGCTATATCCTTTCTGTAATGAGCAGCCCAAAACTGAGCACAATACTCCAGCTGCGGGCACACCGGAGTCGTGTAGAGTGGTAGTAATACCTCTCTTGATCTAAAAGCCACACTTCTGGCTATGCAACCAAGGGTGGCATTCACCCTCTTGACTACCACATCACACTGCTGACTCATGTTTAGCCTGCAGTCAACCAGTACCTCGAGGTCCCTTTCACAAGTGCTGCTCTCCAGCCACTTGTCACCTAACATGTACTTATGACAGCTATTCCTATGCCCCAAGTGCAAGACCTTGCACTTATCCACATTGAACGCCATCCTGTTGTCTCCTGCCCACTTCCATAGTCTGTCCAGATCCTTTTGGATCTGGAGTACCTGCTCCTCAGTTGTGGCCACTGCTCCAGTTTTAGTGTCGTCTGCAAATTTGATCAGCAGACTGTTCACTCCTTCTTCCATGTCATTAATGAAAAGATTAAACAGGATCGGCCCCAGAACAGAGCCCTGGGGGACCCCGCTTGTCACTGGCCGCCATCCCGATGATTCCCTGCTAATGGTTACCTTCTGCTTTCGTTCAGTCAACCATGCCCCAATCCATCAGACAGTGCTTTGGTGTATCCCCAAACTCCTCAGTTTCTCCACCAGGATATCATGGGGCACTCTGTCAAAGGCCTTGCTGAAATCCAGGTATACCACATCCACTGCATCCCCTCCATCTAGCCATCTCGAAACCTTGTCATAGAATTCCACAAGGTTTGTCTGGCAGGACCTGCTTTTGCGGAAGCCGAGTTGTGTGGCTGTCAGCCTCCCTTCCCTATCTAGCATCACTAGAACTCTCTCTATTATGAGCCTTTCCATTGTTTTTCCTACAATGGACGTAAGGCTAACCGGTCTATAATTCCCCATGTCCCTTCTACTACCCTTTTTGAAAATTGGGACCACTGATGCCACCCTCCAGTCCTCTGGAACTTCACCCGTTCTCCACGAGGTCTCAAAAATGGAGGCCAGCGGGCGTGAAAGAACCCCTGTCAACTCTCTAAGTATTCTTGGGTGTAACCCATCAAGGCCTGGTGCCTTTGTAATGTCCAATGCCCTGAGGAGCCCCTCGACTTCAAGGGGGGTGACTCTAATCTGTGCCCCTAAGTCCCCAGCCTCATCTAATCTCCTATGCGGATATCCCCCGTCCTGCTTTGGGGAGAACACAGAGGCAAAATAGTCATTTAGCATCTGTGCCTGTTCCCTCATATCAGTCACTGGATCTCCTTCCTCCTAGATGCACCCTGGACCTTCTTCTATGACCTGTTTATTCATTTCCTTGAAAGGGCCTTATGTACATCCCCATGATGCATCAGTGACAGTGATCAAGTCCCTTGTGGACTGCTCCTGTTTCATTTTCATGCTTATTTTGGGAACAAGCCATCATTTCTACATTAGCTTTTCTTCCTATGCCTCTTTCTTTAGCTGTGCAGGCTCAATGGCTGCCAGAGTCAGGTGCTACGTTGGTTACGTTGATTTTCTCTGAGTTTGTCTTCTTTTAACAGGATTTTCTTGTCACCATTTTCTTCTGTCCTAAGTTCAAGTGGCATAAATAAGGGTGACTCCCTTCCCAGCCCTATCTGAGAAAGACAGAACTCATATCATCTGGTAGTTCACCAGTCTAGGTGAAGGCCTGCATCGCTATCTCATCTAGATCAACAAGATTGTGACATGTCTGCTGGTGCTCCTTTCCTGTGGACACATGCTTGGGCAAAATGAGTGGAAGAAATCTACTCTCTTGAGGGCCAAAAGCCATACCTTCTGAGAGGAAGGCCATTCCTCTGGCTGGATTTTTCTTGGAAAAATGCCCTAGATTTCTTCCCAAAGGGTGCTACATATACCCTTGATTTTATATGGAACATCTCTGGGTCCAGGTAGTATGTTAAAGTTCCAGATTGGATTTCCTGCAGCTGGTGGAAAATACATTGGCCTGCTTGTACTGAAGGACTTCATAATTAAATTTGTTCCAGAAAAGGAACAGGCAGCTGGGATGTTGGAGAAACATGCAATAGATTCAAATTCAAACTCAAACTCAGATTTCTGTAAATGAAATGAATTGATCTCATTGTGAACCAGATTTTTCTGCATGGAGCAGATTCTTTGTTGCTGGAATTTTATGGAAATATAATTGTATAAAATTATGAAAAATTAAAAAAACCAAAAATGCACATTTTGGGAGAAATGGAGTATCTTGAGATTTGCATATTTTCAAAAGTGTAAATTTATGCAAGTGCATACAATGTAATAAAAGACACCTGACAAATGTAGCTGTAACAGGATCCATCACGGGTATGGAGAAAAGTACACTCTACAAATTAAAGGTGGTCCAGCATGGCCTGTTACAGTACCTGGAGAAAATGCTGCAGTTTTTATGGGTTTATGTGTTCCCAGGCCGGGGGCCAGAGTTGCCCATGCACAGACAAGGTCCTCTTGAGGGAGGATAGATTAGGGCTCTATTTACTAGGATTAAGCAAGCTGCTGTAGAACAAATTCACAATAAGGGGTTGTAAATCATTAACAGTTCAAAATGAAAGGTCCAGGCCTTGCCTATATTAATTCAGGTAAATAGTTAGAGCTCCTTCTCTAGAAATCTTTCAGATACCTTTGTGTGGCTTTGTGAAGGCAGAACAAAGCCGAGACAAAACTAAACTAGATAGAATTGTGGACTCCTTCACTTTGCACATTACAACCAACTAACTCATATGGAAAAGAAATGAAAAAAGGAGCAGTGAAACTGCAGTTGAGTGGAGGATGGAAATGCCAAGGGAGGATGGGGGCCACAGCATCAGTGTGCCGCTTGGCCAAGTTCAGCAAGAGAGATTGCTGAATGCTTTTTGACCAGTTTTGCTAAGTGACTCTGTAGCCCTGCTAGGTTTGGAAAACACCACAAGTCACTATGGAAATGAAGAACTCTAAAGCAATCCATGGGTTCTCAGGGTGACTTGTGCAAGAAAAAGAGGCCAACTTAACAAAACCGCAGATGTTTCTGATCCACAAGTGGTGTGAGGCTGTGTCATTCAAACCAGGTCTCATAATGAAATATTTTGTTACTGCAAAAACATAATGGTCCCCCAAGCAAGCACAATGTAGGTGAATATGACTACTGTGTTGAGTGTGGCTGTCATAAGAACCTGCAAAATACTGCCTGAAAAACAAAATACTATAAAGAGCAGATATCCCATCTCTGTTTACTGTTCACCTCTATTAGTTTCTCAGTAAAGAACAAATTTTGGTTGCAGCTTTTCTGACAAGTTGCAATGCAGACATAACACTGGATCTCTGGAACTGTGGTTAACAAATCAACAGCTAGTTTCAGCAATATGTGATCCCTTAATTAGAAGAGTTTGTCAGTGCTAACAATAACACAGGCTTAAGCAAGCTAAGATTTTCACTGTCTAGGTTTATACCTGAAGTAGTTTTCTGACCATGGTAAGCCCTGTATAGCCCAAACTAGTATGAACACTGAAACCATGGTTAAAAGGGAAGGAGTGTCCACTATGGCTAGCACAAAACAAGGATTATGTCTGTACTAGCCCAAACAGAATCAAGTAACCAAGCAGTACTAATCTAGCAACATTAAAACTTGAAACAACATCACCGTTTCAGAACAATTACCTGTACTTCTGGTGGAGTAAGGCAACTTTTTGAGTTGCTTCTTCCAGGATCTTCTCATCTTGCAACCAGCCCTTAAGAATGGAATAGAAATCTTGAACCTTACTCCTATGTAAAGTCATAGCAACCTAAACTTTAATGACTTGATACAATAAACAAAATAAAAAAATTAGCATGTACCAATACTTCAGCTGCATTACAGAATTATGCACCAAACTGTCAAGAAACTGTTTATGCTCAACTTCCTAATGGATAAAGATGCAGACCACAATCACTTCTCAGCTTTGACACAATATCGAGAGGAAAAAGAAATTCCAAGTAATTTAACCATGATCCATATCAGGTATGAGCTGAAGTTGTATATAAATCTGTTGTTAGCATTTTCAGTGTCACAAACTACCTGTCTGCCCCAGGACAAAAGTGGTTCAGATGAGGTTCATAGGTGCATGCAGTTCTTGTTGTTGGGAATACCAATACCTATTACTCAGTATAAAACATATGCCCAATTCATTATGTTTTTGCACAGCAACAATAGTTTTGCATAGCAACTGATTTGCATGTGCAAATATAAAGGGATTTGAGAGCTGTTTTCTAGTTCTGAAGCTTTGCTGTTTAGAGAACTGCTGAACTTGGTTTATTTAAGGTATTTATATGCCACTTCACAGGCAAAGCTCAAAGTAGTTTATGTCTATAATAATAAAAGATGTGTGTCTGTTAGTCTATACCATAGTGCAAAAAATGTGCAAGCCTAGATACATGAAACTTGGCATGGATATTATCTGAAGTGAATGTAAATCTAGATACACTTGCTAGTAAGATGTTTTGCTAGTTATTAAAATAATAACTGCAAAGTCATGCAACAAGAAAACAAATGGAAACAATATTTCTCCTCCTTCAGGAAAAGATGGTACCAAAGTAGCCCTGAGCTGGCAGTAATACTGCAGGACTTGGAAGCATCATGAAATATTTCTTTGCCTGAATCCCACATTGGGCAAAATTTCATCAGCAGGATGAAAAATTAATGGGATATTTTAATTTCTCCCAGTTTTCATTGGCCTTTGTTCTACCACTACCACTATAACAAGCCTGAGGAACAAGAACAAATTTTCCAATAAACTTTTTGGATAGGGAAGAACAAGATACTCCTCATTTTGAACAATGATTTTTACTTTTTAAATTGATAAATCTTCTGAATCATTTCTGTATAAGTACTGAAGGGCGCAATCCAATGAGACTAGCCACAACCCTCCAAATCGAAAAGTTTCTAGACATGCTATGCAAGAAGGGAGGGGCACAGAGGTGAAAGCCCCCTTTGGGTGCCTCCTGCCCTGCAAAGCAGACAGTTTTGGATGACTGACTGTGGTACTTCAGAGCATGAGCAAAGAGACTGAGGTGCTGCCAAGATGCATCATAGCTTGGTGGCACTATTCTTGCCCCTCCCCATGAAAAAGCCCATACACCCCTTCTCTGTGCAACCTCATAAGAGCAACTGCATTAGAATGCAGTTCTTTTCACGCCAGTTGCAGGTGGGGTTTCCCAATCCCAGACCTGGGGAAAACTCTGCTGGACACTGTCCAAAGGGGCACAGGATCATTCTGCCCATGATTTACAATAAAATAATGATTAAAACAACATATTTGTTTGTTGCTTCAAAAAACAAAATAGCCATAGCAACCACCATGAAGAATTTGTTCACTTCTTTAAAAACCCTTGTCAATTTTGTTTTTATTTCTAGAAATCTCTAAAGACAAAGTTGAGGAAAAAGAGGGAAGAAGAAACAGATTCTTACCACAGGAAACAAGGCAAATCTCTGTAGAAACTCCTGTGATTCATACTGGTCATAATCTCCAAAATCAGCTGAGGAATTAAGAGAAAACAAGCAGGAATTAAACATTTATTGCCATCAGGAAGAATTTCTCCTGGTATCAGTCCTATTATGAATCATGTGAAGGATAAGCAACAAACTATGTGCAAAACTATGAAGTGTCTGGAGTAGTTCCCTATTCTATAAAAGTTCTGGAAGTGGTATAAAAGAGACAGCTTGGTTTGGTGCCCTTTGGTTTTCCATCTGGGAAAAGGGTTATAGAAATCAAGGCATTTTACACTGCCTAAAATGTGCAAGAACAATTCCAAATGAATTATTTCTTAAATGACCACGATTAAAGAGCCAGCCAAGGTTAAATAAAAATATGACAGCATGTTGTTATATAAACGAGCTATTTCCATTCATTTGTTAGCTCTCATAGGCAAAATAACATTCTCCGCATGTTTTTCGCAGCACGTAAGATTATCATCCTCAATAAGTGAAAGGGGAGGAAGCAAAAAAGAGGGAGGTGGGGAGAGAAACAGAGGCATGCTTCATGCCACCCACATCTACAAGCCATCTTCATAGCTGGTCAATTCTCTGCCATACAGCAGCTGCACCAAAGTGTGCTATTAACTAAAGAGCACGCAGAACAGTCCTACCAACAACATCTCAAAGATGGAAATGCAGCTGCACTTGAACACCTTTCTCCTCAAACTAAAGATCACTGTCTGAACATCCTGCATTGACAATGGTGCTACTCTGTTGGAAGTAACTACAGTTCATTTAGTCAGCAGCAGCCTATTGGCTACTGACTAATAAAGCACAAGGGCTCTTTGATTAAAGATATATTATAAAAGTATGGCTGATAGTTTGTTCAAAAGGTACCACTGCATCTGCACTGCCTAGAATCACAGGCTGTGGGACAGGAAGGCACCGATGCGTATGCACACATGCAGCCGTGCAGCAGGGACAGGGCTGGCATCAGGACACTGGCATTGCGGAACACTTGCCAACGTCCTTGCACTAGAGAGCCAACTGAATGGCCTTGGCACCCTGGGGCCTGGCTCCCATTCCTGTTTGTTGCAAGTGACAACTTATGTGAACAGGCTGGCTGCCACAGAAGGAGCACAACAAGCACTTCTTACCCTCTCTGTTTGGGCAGCTGTACAGGTTAGGCCCAGAAGGGGGGAAATCTCCATGGGAGGTTAAGCAGATAGCAGTAAATCAGAAAACCTTTTTTCATGGTCCCCCCCTCCCTCAAGTTGTGGAATACTCTCCACAGCAACACCTGCTGTCATCTGGTGTGCCCGCAACTGGAGTATTGTGTTCAGTTCTGGGCCTCTCATTACAGGAAGGATATAGCCAGGTTAGAGTCAGTGCAGCGCAGGGCAACAAGGATGGTGGCTGGATTGGAGGGAAAGCCATATGAGGCGAGACTGAAGGAACTGGGCCTTTTTAGCCTGGACAAGAGGAGACTCGAAGGGGATCTGTTGGCGATATACAGGTATGTGAGGGGGTGTCACATGGCGGTGTGTAGAGACCTGTTCTCCCCTGCAGAGGGCAGGACACTCTCCAATGGAGCAAAGCTCAGGGAACCAAGGTTCAATTTAGATGCCAGGAAGTACTTCCTGCCGGTTAGGACCCCGAGGCTATGGAATGGGCTTCCACGGGAGGTGGCTGAGGCCCCATCAGTGAGGGTGTTCAAGGATAGTCTAGACATGCACATGGTAGGCATGTCGTGAACAGAGCCAGCTAGAGCTGGGGGTCAGATTAGATGGCCTGGGAGACCCTTTCCGACTCACTCTGTTTCTCTGTTTCTTTTTGGCACCAAGTTAAGAGTGTATTTCCAGACTGTATTTTTTTTTTTTTTTTGTAAATGCATCAATTGAATTGTTTGATTCTTACAGAAGCTTGATTTGTTTACAGTCACTGTACTTTGGTGGAAAGTGTTTGTAGACTGTGTACATATTAAAATTATTCCGTGTTGCCTTGCCTTTTTTTAAAGGGAAAGATGGCTAAAAATCCAAGAGTAAAAATTTATCAGGAACAGGTACCAAAAATAATAACTGTACACAGCTGGAGCATTTGGCAACATGGAAGGAGGTCTACTTCCTGCCACAAAGGGCTTACATTCTACACTGCCCTAGAGGTGGGTGTCAGGGTGGCGAAGAGTGATAAAGTGAGAGCAGGGTGGGGAAAGCTATCGATGGCTACCAGTCATGATGGGTATACAGTGGTACCTCGGTTCATGAACTTAATTCGTTACACGATTCTGGTTGCGAACCAAATCGGTCATGAATCGAGTCAAATTTCCCCATAAGGTTCAATGTAAATAAGGTTACTCCATTCTGAACCATGTGTAATTTTTTTAACCAAAAACTATGAAACAAAGTACAGTATGAAGAGTACAGTATGAAGAGAGAGAACACTAACCTTGCTTGAGGTGATTTCTGGTGTTGAGGACAGGAAGGTGGGTGGGGAGGAGGTTACTGTTTAGAGGGACAGTCTGCAACCACGATCTCGACCAGAGGAAGCCGCGACCACGTGTCAGAGTGAACATGAACGCGGCCATCTTCCCCACATGAACACGAACGTGACCATCTTCCCTGTTCAAACACGTGGTCATGGTGCGGGGAAGATGGCAGCGATCATGTTCATCACCCGATGCGGAGTTCGTGAACAGAAGCAAAATTTTGCCAAACTTTCTGTTCACAAACCAAATTGTTTGTGAACAGAAGTGTTCGTGAACTGAGGTATTACTGTATATTACATACCTCCAGCATCAGGCACAGTATGCCTCTGAGCACTAGTTGCTGGAAACACAAATAGGAGTGTGCTACTGACTGGCCACTGCGGGACAAAATGCTGGGCTAGCTGACCTTTGGTTTGATCTAGCTGAGGTTGGGAGAGGGATTTTCCTAGGTAGGGAGAGGGAAGAATGCTTATGCGAATGGGGCAGCATACAAGTTTCCCAAATAAATAAGAGCCAACATGCAAACTGGAAACAAACTTTTTTTCAAACAGACAAAGGAAAAAAGTTTGTAATGCAAAGTTTAGCACATGCTCAAAGTGTGCTGCAATCATCTTACTATTTTCTAAGAACCACAGCAGACCACAGTAGATAATGCCACTGGTGTTTTGATTCAAAAGGGTAGAGTCTTTGTGCACACACGCACGCACGCACATGCATACGCTCATGCAGGCACACACTAGCATGGATGTAAACATGAGGATTGTAATCGTAATTCCGAGATGTTAAGGAGTCCTTCTCCTTCAATGGGCCAGATATACCAATGGAGAACAGCACATTATTGCACAGCACTGTAGAAAATAACAGCAATTTTCAGCACTCTGGCCAGACACATTATTAAACATATTCCTGCATAGCACAATGTTATCATTACACCTTGGAAAACACGTTTACTACAAGCTGTGATCCTGCAACAATCTAGGCACAGCTGTGTTTTAATGGTCTCGATTAGTACAGAGAAAATTGGCATTCTCTGTAATGTATCACCCAGATCAAGTTCTCTGAGGTCCAGTTCAAAGACATAATCTTCCTATACTAGGAAAAAACCCCTTTATTAACGAGAGCTAGGGTTATATAGAATCCAACTGTGTCACGGTGTTTGATTAAACTCCAAAATATGTGTGATGTAGTTGGCATTGACTCCAAATTTCTTCAAAATAAAGGGTTAGTGATCATAGATGAGACATAAAACCATAGAAAGGAACTATCTGCAGTCAATAGTGACCTCGATATTAATAAGCAGGATTAATAAGCACATGAACAATAATTCAGATACACCAGATTAAACTCACTATAAATTTCAAAAGGAACTGTAGAAACTAAACAGAGGTTAGTAATAATATTGCAACAAAAATATTAAAGTGCATATTGTTAACATGGGAACAGCAATTTGCTTCATATTCAGTGTTCAGACTATGAATGCTGTTGCTTATGTAGACAATATGGTAGGACTAACAAAAGATTATGAGGTATGAGCATACTTAGAGAAATTCAAGGTTAGCAGAAGCATAACAAAAATCTATAGGGAAAAAATCCTAATAGGGGAATCTCCAAAACAAGTCAATTAAGACTCAGGCACCCAATACAGACTGACTGTTCATTGTGTGAATCAAATAGACAGAATGTGATGCTAAACAACAACGCTCCATTTTGCTGCAGGTCCGAATTAGAAAAGATAAGCATTCCAGGCACCATATGATGGCTTGGAAAACTCCTTCCACGGTAAGAGTCAGCTCTCCAACTTCAGAAGTCAGAGATCTGCCCTCACCCACATTGCAGCTGATGCAGAAAGAACAATGCCAGCTGTCTCTTTACAATCAGAAGATTGTAAAAGCTGAAGCTCAGAGAGCAGGACAAGCAGGGTGTACTGGTGGACGAGGAGGGTAAAAAGACAGAGTGCACAGGATAGGATTTGTCCTGAGCCTGCTCCGACATACCTCCTTCCTGCACCAAAGCGTCCTCAGACCACCTAGGAAAAATAAAGGAGACCAGAAGACAGGGAGGCAAAATCACCTCTGCCACTCCTCCTGCCCTGCCAGTTTCAGCCCTAGCAGGGCGCAGAAATCTTAGAAACATAGAAACAGAGCAAGTCAGAAGGGGCCTCCCGGGCCATCTAGTCTGACCCCTGGCTCCAGCCGGCTCCCCTCACGACATGCCCACCACGTGCATGTCTAGCCTATCCTTGAACACCCTCACCGATGGGGCCTCAACCATCTCCTGTGGAAGCCCATTCCATACCCTAAGGAAGCCACCAAGCGATAAAGGCACAGTCCAGAGCGCTGCAGCCTGCATTACTTACACAGCGTATCCTTCTGAACTCTAGTTCCTGGAAATGTTACCCTCTTCTCTTTCCTAAATTTCCCCACATTCCTAGAAATGAAATCCTGAGAGGACCATGAAGCACCATTATTCTAAATACAAAGTGCTATTAAGAAAGTAAGAAACACGACCAACCAGTTCCTATCCCATGTGGAGGAAATTAGAAACTAGCTGTCACACAGAGCCACTGTAAAGCAGCAGATATAGTGCCAAACTTGGAAAGGCAAATCCTAGGGTCACTCAAGGTCAATTAAATTCCAACAAAGCCAAACAAATTTCCACACAGCTACAGAAATCTTTAGGCAAGACACATCCTCTCAACTTTTTTATTGTTGCTAGTTGTGAAGTCACGCCCAACCCATCACGACCCCATGGACAACATTCCTCCAGGCCTTCCTGTCCTCCGCCATCCTCTGGAGTCCACTGAAGCTCACACCAACTGCTTCAGTGACTCCATCTAGCCACCTCATTCTCTGCTGTCCCCTTCTTCTTTTGCCGTCTATTGTTCCCAGCATTAGACTCTTCTCCAGGGAGTCCTTCCTTCTCATTAGGTGGACAAAGTATGTGAGTTTCATCTTCACTTTCTGGCCTTCTAAACAGCAGTCAGGGTTGATCTCCTCCAGGACTGACTGCTTTGATTGCCTTGCGGTCCAGGGGACTCTCAGGAGTCCCCTCCAGCACCACAATTCAAAGGCCTCAATCCTTCGGCGCTCAGCCTTCCTTATGGTCCAGCTTTCACAGCCATACATTGCAACCGGGAAAACCACAGCCTGGACTATATACACTTTTGTCAGCAGGGTGATGTCTCTGCTTTTTAGTATGCTGTCTAGATTTGCCATAGTTTTCCTCCCCAGGAGCAAGCATATTTTAATTTCTTGGCTGCAGTCACCATCACCTTAGCTTACCTCAAAAGGTTATTATAAAGCTAAAAAGCTACTCTGAGTTCTTCAACAAATGACAGAGTACAAATATCACTAGATAACAGTGTCATATAAAGGTTTGTTTTTAATGGCAAGTGTTCATTTACTGAAAGAGTAAAAAAACTGTGGTTTACAGCTGTTTCCAGTCTGCCAAGCAGTCTTCCTGAATGGTCAGTGGCCTCACAGACCAACTATGGGTTGAAAGAGAAGCTTTTGCAGACCTAACTGATGTGTGGCACCTGAGAAAAGGTAAATATTACAGATTATTAGGAAAGGGATGAAAACTGAAACTGCCAGTATTGCACTGCTTTTACATGCAATATATGGTGAAAGTACACTTCTTGTCACTCCTCCTAAAAAAGAATATTGCAAAGCCGGAACAGGCATGGAAAATGCAACCAAAATGAACAGGCAGCTATAGCAACCCCACTACAAGGAAAGATGATGTCTGCAGCTTTCTAGCTTAGGGGCAAAAGCAGTTAAGGAGGGACATGATGAAAGTGTGTAAAACTATACATGATATGGAGAAAGTAGGTAGGGATTCAGTGTCGATCCACGAAGTTGTATCATGGGAGATCCAGGAGAGACAAAAGAAAATACATTTTCACATAACAGATAGTTAAACTATGGAAATTGCTAACACAAGACTAGCAGTAGTGATGACCACCCACTCTGAAGGCTTTAAAGGCCGACCAGACAAACTAATGAAGGACAAAGCTATCGATGGCTACTAGTTATGACAACTATATTCTACCTCCAGACTAAGAGAGAGCATCCCTCTCAATGTCAGCTAGGAAAAAAACAGGAGGAGAGTTTTTGCTTGGGTTTTTGCTCAAGTTCTGCTTGTTGGCTTCCTATAGGTGCCTAATATGTAGGAGACACCTAAACCCATTAGGTGCTTGGCATAATTTCAAGCCTCTTATGTTCTCTATAATCTTATGTTCTGATTGTTCAACAGCAGAAATGCTTTTGCAGGAGCTGTTCCAGATGGCCCAGAAAGAGCCCATGAGACATGCACCAGCAGCCCAGCATGCACGTACGTATGCATGCATGCACGCAAGCAAACAGCCATACACATTTTCCACTGCTAGAATCAGTTAGACGTGATCACAGCTGTGAAGGTTACCTTGAACAGCTAAGCCAGCTAGATGAATTGCTTGCTCAAATGTGCAAGGAATGTTTCCTTCTAAGATGTCTTTCTTCAATTGTAGATAATACTGGTATCTATGGAAAGAGAACACGTTTGTTTTTCCATTACTTCTGATTCATGGCAATGCAGCTACTCAGCAATATTCTACGACTACAAATATATATATCTTACTCCCTTGCCATCCACCAATTTAGACAGTAAGGAAACCAAGACAAGGGCCTGTATTTTTCATTGACATAACTCTACACCTCTATGATCACACCCTCTCTATGGAAGGAGGATTATAGCTCAGTGGCAGAGTACCTGCTTGCATGTTTAATCTCTGACATCTCTGATTAAAAAATGATCAGGTAATAAGTGATTGTAAAGCTCTCTGCTTGAAAACCTGGAGAACTGCTGTCAGTCACAGCAGAAAATATTGGAATAAATGGTCTAACCTGGCATAAGGCAACATCCTGTGGTCCTAAATAATAAACAAAAAGAAGCAGATAGATTATTGTAGTGAGACCTTTCAAGTCCAAATTCCCATTTCACACACAACGGTCTTAATGTAGCAAACTGTTTCTCATCTTATAATTTCTCAATTGTCCAATATTCTCTTCATCCTCATTCCTCACCCTTTCAGGGCACTGGTACTAAGTTCTACTTTCTAGTAACCCAATCACATTTTCTCTGGAGGCCCCTGATCTTTCAGATGTTGCCTAATGCCTTCTTTACATGCCCAAGAAGAATTCTCTCTAGGGAAGTGGTGACCCATATCACCATGAAAAATACCACCAGGCAGATATTCAGTTTTGAATGTCTTAACTGGGACTATGCATAGGAGCATAGCTGAGACTGTGATGTTATGCTGCATACATACTTGGTCATGCGCTCTGGGTTGAGGTCCTTGAATCTTTTTGTCCTGGAGGGTTTTCTTGGGATGGCATAAGACATTGTGCCCACCATGACAAATACAAGGCCAACCCCAAAATCTTAACTCTAGCAGATGGAGCAGATCATGTACCTGACAAGGTAATGTCAGGAAAATCAGTGATGATCTGGGAGCACTGGAGGTATCAACAGCTCCCTTGCCATGGACAAACTTCAGGCTGTATAGCTCTTATACTGGGAAAAATGTGAAACTTCTATTTTGGATGACCACAGAGGTATTTACACTTTTTGCATCTCCTCATATCTGATGCCTCTCTACACACAGCAAATGTTATAATAATAATGATGATGATGATGATGATGATGATGATGATGATGATGTATCCATCCAAGAGAAAAAATCACTACAATCACAGAATACTTCAGGCATTGGCAATATGGTGACCCCTGGATATCTTCCTTGGTGTCTACCAAGACACCCCATGATTCCCAATTTTATTTCAAAAAAAATGTTTTCATTTTCTTTACTGGCTGCTAGAATAGCCTCAAAGTGAAGTGAAAGGCTCCAACTGCTACTTTCTTAATTTTTCATGAACGCCTCCTGGCAGCTTCCATGTCCTTTGTGAGTAGCCCTCCCCTCCCATGACACCCATTTCATGGCTATGACCAAGAGACTCAAACTTCCAGATGTGCCCAAAGCCCAAAGCCCAGCCTACCCCTGGAATATTATGATCATGATTAATTTAATTTCTAAACCACTCCAACAGCTGAACCTCTCTGATTAGTTGTAGCTTGCTTAGTTGTATCTTAACTGTATCTTCCAACAGTGTTGTATCTTCCTCTTGTTGCTAGCTGAGAAATGCTGGGAATTTGGGACTTTTTCTGTTTAAATGTACATAATTGTACATTTAATGCTGATCTCATTGTACATTTAAATTGTAGCTTTATTGACATAATTCACTACCACAAAATAATAGGCAGGTGGGGAACTGCCTTATACAGTTAGACCATTACTCTGTTTTCACTGAGTGGTGATTACTTTCCAGGGTTTCAGACAAAGGTCTTTTTGTGCCCTACCTGGAGATAAATTTTATTTCTTGATGAAAATGTAGTAGTGGGAACAAGCTTGGTTATATTTTAAAGAGGATCCATCTAATTTACCAGTGATGGCAAGTCTATCAAAGGCTTTTAGTAACTATCTATCAATCTATCTATCTATCTTTCTATCTATCTATCACATTTGTATGTTGCCCATGGCCAAAGGCTCTCTGGGTGGCTCACAGTGTGCAATATAAATATATTTAAAATACATATAAAAATAAATAACAATAAGAAACAAGACCATACAACATAGTAAAATTAAAATGCATTATAAACAGGACCATATCAATAGGAAACAGAAGGAAAATAAACATATTATGACCAAGAATAATAACAAGACCAATAACAATGACCAATAAAACAGTAAACAATAAAACAGTGAACCAGCAGCAAACCAATAATTCAATCTAAAAACAGATACTAAATAAAAAAGCCTTGACTTATGATAACAACTGAATAGAATCTCCACATTCAGAGGTGGAATGCAATTGAACTGCATTTGCGAAGCAAAATCAGAAGAATGTCTTCAGTCCCCGATTATGGGTTTTCCAAAAGAACCTAGCTAGTGGCAATAGCAAACAGAATGCTACGCTATCCAGGCCTTTGGTCAGATCCAGCAGGACTATTTTTATAGAGTCCCCTTCCCTAGTATGATTTTTTTAAATTTATTTATAAAATTTGTATGCCGTCCAATTACTTGTGTCTCTGGACGGCTTACTGCATAAATAAATTGACAACCCACGATATGAGGTATGATGCCCTCCAGATGTGTTAAACTTCATCTTCAACTGTTCTCAGCCACTGTGGCCATTGGCTATACACATCTGGAAGCCACCAGGTTGAAAGAGCTGCTATACAAGCTGCCATGGAAGAAATCTGTTTCCACCACATGCACAAAACTGCCACATAATGATTTGCATCCTTTAAATGTCCAATTGCAACATGCTTGCTTACACCACTCACCTGGTAATCTCCTGCTGAAGCTGAGAGACAGAAGGCACATAAAACACCACACCGAAGAAGACAGTTGGCTCCAATGCATATTTATCCAGTTGTTTTTTCAGAGGCTTGTCCAAGTCTATCCACCTGCGCTGGTTTTGCTTGTTGAAATACCAAAGGCTAAAATAGGTGATCTAAATGGAGAAAGGGGGAAAGAAGGGGTGGCAGATGTTCAATAATAAAGCAAATTTCGAAATGAGAAAGAAGTGTAAGCAACAGGAAGCTATCCTAGCTTTCAGAATTCAGATAATTAAGACATTTAGGGAACCACTGAGAATTTCAGTGGTTCATTTTATCATTCATTTATGCAGTAACATCCAATATGTATGATCATAATGAGGATGATTAGAAGTGTTTTTGTAGGGAAAAAAATAAAAGAAGCACACAAATAGATATCACTGGGGAAGATCCCCCAACTGAAATCTGTCCTCCTGAACCTTAAGCCTTAATTTGGGCAGCAGAGCCCAATTTTTTTTTTTTTTTTTTTTTGGCTTACTATCTTCCTAATAAAACATTTTCCAACCTATTCAGATTTCCAAATATGTGCAATGGAAGGTTAATACAATAAAACAGAATAACAGTGAGGTAATAGCAGATGGAATCTTTAAAACCAGACTAAGATTCACACAGACTACAGATCCTTAACTGAAGACCAAGATTTGCACAGAGTTTAAAAAGTGTGAGTAGTCTCCAGGCCTATAGGAGCTCCACTGATTTTTGCTAGAACCCAAAAGACATACACTTAGAATTGAGGGATTCTGAAGTGCCAGAATTTAACAGATTTACAATCCTTCCACTCAAAAATCCAAGCTTTCTTCATTTCAACAGTAAAATGCAGGGTGGGGAAGGAGTCATTTAGCTGTTGCAGTCAAATGAATGGGAGTCAGGAATCTTTGCTAATTTACTATATATCACCCAGAGATCTACTAGCACACCTTCTACCTACCCCTGGATTAAAATGCCTAAGTAAATATTCTTTTTTTCTCTGCCTACTTTGAAAAAATGTAAAGTAGGTGCCAGGTATAGCCTGCCCCCCAGGAGCACTACATTATCAGGGCTGAGCAAACCTTCACACTTGTAGCTGGATGACCTACTTCTGATAAAGGTGGAACATGGAATCAGTCATCTACATGGGCAGATTGGTATGAGACTAAGTAGGCACTCTTCCAAGTATTTGGGTTACAAAATGTTTAGAGCTTTACTAGTAAGAACCAGCACCTTGAACTGGGCATGGCTGCCAATAGGCAATGAATTTCCTTCAAAATTAGCATAATATTCATAAAATGGACAGAACCAGCTATGATTGTGGGAGGTACCCTGTACTAGTAGAACCTAGCATGTGATAGTACTCTTCCTCTATCTAAGGAAGCAAGCTGAGAACAACATTTCCACATACACAATCTCTTCCAAGATTCAGTATGCTTTGTCTGCAGTAAAGTGATCAAATTACCTGAGAGTAGCAATGCCACAGGGACACTTGCCACCACGAAGAACATAAGCAGAGTCCTGCTGGGTAAGAGCAAAGGCCTATCTAGCCCAGCACTTGTTTCTACATTAGCCAGCTAATATATAGCCACCTCAACTAATAGCCATGGACAGCCTTCTCGTCCATGAAAGTTTCTAATCCCCTTTAAATACAGTATGAATTAAAGGCTAGCATTACATTTTGTCGTATTACATTCCATAGCTTAACTATGAGTTATCTGAAGAGGTACCTCCTCTTTTTTGTCCTGAATTTCCCACCACTTGTTGGATAATTTCTGATTCTATTACTATAAAAGAGAACAAAAAATTCTACCCAACTTCTCAACTCTTTGCACAGTTGTATGCAATTCCCCAATTATTGTTTTCCAAGCTAAAATGTCCCAAACAACATAACCTTTTCTCACAGGAGAGCTATTTCAATCTCCTGGTTATTTTGACTGCTCTTTCCTGCAACATTTCCAGCTCCATACCATCAACCCCAGCAGCATACAGTTAAAAGAAAGCGAGACCACTGCAGGACATCATATATTCACTGCATACCCTCTTCTGTTGGCAGGTTCTTTGGGTTTACCATGGCCTTTTATCAAACTCATTCTCTCAGGAAACACTATGATGCCTAGTTTGGGAGTTACTGAAGCTAGTTCTTTACCTGTGATCAGGGCACGCAACTCCAGTATCACTGCAGGTGGTCTCTGCCTGCCCGGGTCCTAATATATTTAGCTGATACAACACTTATGCAAACACATGTGGACTAATCTCTCAGATCTATGCAATGACTTAAGTCCATCACTGAGTCTGCTTTATGCTTCTGTTACTGTTGTTGAATTCATTTTCCTGGCATAAAAAATAAGTCATCCTATAATTATATACAACCAATAAATACAAAGAAACTCAAAGAGGGACTTCAGATGTGTGTGAGTGTGTTTGCACGTGTGTGTGTGCATTTAAAGCATGTTCTAAAAAGGGATCTTTTATAAAAGAGGGATTTATAACCCAGTGAGAGAACTGTCTGCGCCACTGCTCTTACTGGGGAGCCTTACCTGTGATACAACCCTGCAAGGTAGGCTAGGCTGAGAGGCAGTGACTGGCCAAAGTCACCCAATGTGCTTCATTGCCAAGTGAGACAAGAACAGAGGCCTAGCCCAACACTCTTTACTAGTGCACCACACCGTCTGGCAAATGCCTGGCAGGGGAAAACATAAGGTGAAGACCCACTAAAGGCATCCTCTCCAAGCCTCTCAAAACCTAGTGGCTTTTATTTTGTACTGGCAACATTAAATATCCCAGATAGCTAGGGAGGAGTCCACACTGCAGCTCAACCCAACACTGGCATTCATTTTACTGCATGAATTTCTCCTATGTCATCTGGGACATTTCATGTTAGCCTGGCAGTGCAAGGAGTAAAGCCGCCGCCACTCCTAGGGCACCGGGATAATGACTTCATTTGCAAATCTAATCAGCATTTTATAAAAGTTGTGCCATTAGATTAGATCAATTAAGTAATAAGTACATCTATAAATTTAAAAGGTAGATCCCAGTTTTCTATTTCCTAAGAAACTAGGTTCAGCTCTCACTGGATCACAGATTGGCTAGGTGACATGGCATAATTCTGAGAAAGGTAGTATGCTTCTTACATTTCCTCTCCCTCCCTTTCTCTAGTGTTTCCCCTGCCCCAAATGCCAAGATTTAGATGGAAGCTCCTTTAGGTTTTACAACAACAACAACAACACCTTGTGATTCTTCTGTGCCAATACAGGACTGGTATAAAACGGTCTTCCCTGTCCAAGTTCACAACATATGAACACTTATGCAATCTGTATAAAATGTATGCAATCTAAAATAATCAGTGTGTTCTCATTTATCCCTTTGACTTTACACTGAGACAGAATTATAAAAAGGAAGAGTTATTCAAAAGATCTAGAGCTCCAGATATGGGAGTTCTCAGTAGAATTAGGATAAAGCACAACCTCTCCAGTTGTCATCCATGGCTGAAAGGGCTAATTGCATAAAAGAGAATCACTTTTTAATCATGGCTAAAGCAATCTACTATCAGAAGAGTGAGAGATTACTCAACCTGAGAGAAAAGTCATGACATAACTCTTGAAATATGTTAAGCCTCCAAGATTAACACAGTTGTAAGGTTTATTCATTTTAGAAAGTTACTCATCATTCAACCTCCGAGCACTAAATCAACCTTAGACAGAAAGACTGTCGATTTTCTATGTAATTATGTTACAGCTAATTGCTCTCTTTGTTATGTGTCCAAGAAATTGCAAGATTTTTTGTACACACAGGGGACATCTAAAAATAGAGTGTGTTGGCAGGGGTTAGGGAGCTGGAAAGGCTCAGCCCTGGACTAAACAAAATATATGAAGGGATGAAAAGGCAACTGGAAAAAATGAACAGTAGAGCAAAAAAGATTGCCCCAAAACAATGTACAAATGTCAACACTTTTTTGAAAAATAGGCAAGATTCAAGTGAAGCAGTATTCCAATCAAAATATATTTTGAAATATGAAGATTTATCTAATTAATCCATAAAAATCAGGAATCCTTCAGCTGATGTCCAGTACTAGTTAGCAATGGACACAAACCAGAGCAATGTAAGCCTTATTTAAATCCTACTGAAATAAACTGATGCTTTCATATCCTACGCAAACCAAGAATGATCAATTTGTGATGGTTACCAGGGCTGTGTGAATCCATGCCATCTGATAAAAAGCACAAGCATTAGTCCTGATAGTATGGGGAATCTTTCCGTCCGTTCATCCTTCCTTCCTCACTTTCCTCAATAGAATATAGCTTTTCTGTTGTGTGTAATTCAAAACATTTCTAGAGCCTTGGATGAAAGGTGTGGTAGATGGTACCCCTTTCTGGTACTGACTCTTCAGCTGCTACTTCCTTCTGCATTTGGTTTCTCCCTACCTTATCCATGACTTCCTCCTTTCTTCTTAAGTTGCATGTTTTCTTCCACTGCTTATATGCCCCCTTGATTTCACTTCTATGACATCTAACCCTCCTTTCACCACTTCTCTATCAGTTCTGTCTTCATCTCAATATGTGTCCATAACTACTTGGAGCTATGGAATGCTCAGCTAAGAGCTTGGACTGGGATTCACAGACTACCAGAGAAACTTCAGGTTATAGGGTGGCATAGAAATTTATTTAAATAAATAAATAAGTAATAGCCAGGCTGTGTTTACCTTCCTAAGCATGAACTTGATAGCGTCATGTCTCCATGCAATGTAAGAGTGCAATGCCAAACCAACAACAGTACATCACCTCAGCGTAGCCCTTGCATGGTGTTAGGGATTAAATGTAGACCTTAGTCAAATATGAAGAATGGTACTTGTGGGCAAGCTACAGGACAGAAGCAGAATTTAATAGGTACCAATTTCTGTCATTCTCAAATATCTCATGACACACTAGGCTGGCAGACTCTCTAACAGTGATATTAAATTCACTGGGGTAGTGCCACCTGGCCCCCAAACCTGAAATTTAGTGCACATGTAGTCCAAGTCCCCCTGGTTACTAGCAAAATGCAGCACTTGGAGATTAAAAAAAACCCTTGAAATTGGGAACAAAAACTGCTCCCCAGTTTAGTTAAGGTGCTTTTCACACTACCGATGCAGCTAAAACCTCATGACAGT